TATATAAATAGATGATTTTAATGATAGTAAGTAATATTAATAAGAATATTAACAGCTAACTTTTACTAAGTGTTTGTCAGATAATAGGCATTGTGCTAACCATTTAACCATCTTTAAACCTCTTTCACTTACTCACCACCACAATTTACCACATAGGTACTATTATCATTCCCATTTCACAGATGGGGAGATGGAGACTTAGAGGATTTAAGAAATTTGCATGAAGACACTCAAACAGCAAGGGGTGGTACAAGGATTTAAATGTAATCAGACACTAGAACCTAAAGTCATGTGATTCTTCATAGACACATGACTAAGTAACGCGAATTGACACTCCTTCCTCTTTTAAACACTGTCTTCACTTAGCTTTTAGAAAACCATACATTCCTACACTCATCCTATGTCAATAGCTACTTCTTCTAATCTCCATTGGTGGTTTCTCTTTCTGTCCCCCCCAAGTCACAGGACTTGATTATCTAGGGCATCCTAAAAAACAAAAAGAAAGCCTTCCAAAAATTGCCCCTCTGGGAAATGGAAGGCAGACATTTATCCACAGTGCCCATTCCCCATTGCTGGGTCATTGCCTGGGGGTGTTAACTCCACCAAACTTTCCAAGGGCAAGGGGTGTGTGTTTGTGTGTGTGTGTGTGTGTGTCAGGACTGATGGCATCTCAACCCTATCAGAGCATTGTTCCTGAACAGGAGACTTGCTGATGTTTACAAAACAACGTCAGTGTTCTATCAGGCCAATTTCCTCCAGTTGATACAATATATGGTAGGATGAGTGGAATCCCATGGTCATGTGCCATTGTCACACCTCTTTTACCGTAAAGTGTGTCCTTTAGTTGGAGGCAATATTTTAGAAAATCATGTGTAATTTCCTCCAGTTGATACAATATATGGTAGGATGGGTGGAATCCCATGGTCATGTGCCATTGTCACACCTCTTTTACCGTAAAATGTGTCCTTTAGTTGGAGGCAATATTTTAGAAAATCATGTGTTTGGGCTGGGCGTGATGGCTTATGCCTATAATCCCACCACTTTAGGAAGCTGAGGCAGGCAGATCACTTGAGGTCAGGAGTTCACGACCAGCCTGGCCAACATGGTGAAATCACGTCTCTACCAAAAATACAAAAAAATTAGCCAAGCAGGGAGGCAGGCACCTATAATCTCAGCTACTCAGGAGGCTGAGGCAGGAGAATGGCTTGAACCTGGGAGGAGGAGGTTGCAGTCAGTGAGCCAAGATTGCACCACTGCACTCCAGCCTGGGCAATAGAGCGAGACTATGAAAAAAAAAGAGAAGGAAAGAAAAAAGGAAAGAAGGAGGGAAGGAAGGAAGGGAGGCAGGGAGGAAAGAAAATCATGTGTTTGTAACTCTATCAGATAATGGTACTGGCAGAGACACTGTGAACAAGACCCGTCATATCAAGAGAAGTGTCAGTTCCATAAGTACAAACTATAGCTCTTTCCAAGAAGGAAGAGCTTTTGTGTAATCAATCAAGCAACTCCTTGCTCTCCTTACACAATTTACCATCCATCTTTGCTGCTGATGGGCTGAACATCCAAAGAGGCTGTAGTCATATCAGCTTTGGTAAGAAAGAGCCTTAATTGTTGGGCCATGCACATGTCCTCTTCTTAATATCACTAAAAAAGTCCTTGTTGTCATCTGACTGCAAAGTAACCCACTTCCAGAGTTCTGAGGAGCTGCATTCTAGACTTACTTCTTACACCAAATTTCTTAGCTTCTTTCTCCTCAAAAGCTGAGATAACTACTTGTGTGGGGACAGGCAATTTGAGATTGACACTAGTGAGAAACAATGAGAGAACAGAAGGGAGGATAGAGTCACAATACAAAAATGTGTTGTTAAAGTTGCTGTTGTGAGAAACAAGAACTCATTTCACTGGGGCTTTCTGAAAAACACAGAATGGCCTACAAAACTTTCTTGCTCAAGTGTAAGGAGCAGGAGCATTTATCCATCAGCAACTGTCACCCCTTGGTTGAAGGGGCCCACATGTATTGACTTACCAGCACTTCAAAGCTGTGCAGGGCAGGAGCTGAGACAGTTACTGCTGGAATCTGGGAAGTCCAAAGAATCTCAGGGAAGAAATCAAAGAGGCCTGGTAAAGGTGGGAGAAGAGAAGCTGTCAGGGAGAAGTATGTGGAAGATTGCATGAAATTGCCCCCCACAACCAAGTCAAAAATGAGAAGTGATGCTCAGAAGGTGTGAGTCAAGACACCAAAGGCTTCTGACACTACAGGATTATTAATTTCTTAAAAATCTAAAACCAATTCACAGGGCCAGGTATGGTGGCTCACACCTATAATCCTAGCACTTTGGGAGGGCAAGGCAGGTGGATCACTTGAGGTCAGGAGTTTGAGACCAGCCTGGTCACTATGGTAAAACCCCATCTCTACTAAAAATACACAAATTAGCTCTGCATGGTGGCAGGTGCCTGTACTCCAGCTACTCGGGAGGCTGAGACAGGAAAATGGCTTGAACCCAGGAGGCAGATGTTGCAGTGAGCCAAGATAAGCCACTGCACTCCAGCTGGGGTGACAGAACAAGACTCTGTCTAATAAATAAATAAATATAAAACCAATTCATAGCTGCAAGTCTTTAATTTCGTTTACCACATGGTTATCACAGGAGAAAATGGAAAGTGTTGTAAGAGAGTCAATATTTATGAAACACCTACTCTATAATAAGTGCTACTCCAGATAGCCTTTCCTACGTTTCATATTTGACATGTAAACATATTTCACTGACATGGTAGTCAGAGAAGAGCCAGGTGACATTTGAACGGTGACTGGAAAAAAATGAGGAAGCAAGCCCTGTGGACATCTGAGAGGGCAGTGTTCCATACAGAAGAAACAACAGCTACAAAGCACTGGCGCTTGCTGTGCTTGTTTACGATTAGAAAAGCTCTGAAGTGTAGCTTGGATATGACCCATCAAGGGCAAGCTCAGTCTTAAAAGTCAGAAGAAGAATTGTGAACTTTAATCTGAGTAAAATGGTAAACCACTAAAACGTTCTGCACAGAGGAGTGGCATATTCTGTAACAAGTTATAAGAGGATCACTCTAGCTGCTGTCTAGAGCTATGATGTAGAGAAATAAAGGGAATGTAAAAAACCGTGCATAAGGTTACTGCAATTGTCCAGACATGAGCAGATGCTACATTGTAACACCTCTTATACCTTAAGTTGTTTTATACTGCCATTTCCTTCTCATGGAAACCCCTAACTTCTTCAGGGCAGGGAGCTCTTACGCATACATTATGTATATGACCTACACATATGCCCGTTTAATAGATGCATGATAAATAACCATCATATAAGTGGCCAACAGTAGTACTAAATCCACATTATACAGTGGTGGTATGGCATTACTGAAAGGCTTTGTCATTTACTGTCTCTTTAAGAAATTTAAGTTCTCTAAGCCTTAATTTCAACACTCCTAAATGTTGCTAACACCAGCCTAACAAGGTTGGTAAGAATTAAATGAAAATGTCTACCCAGACCCTTTGTTCTCACCACCAAAGTAGGTGCCTTGATTTATTATAAACCCTCACTCTCAATACAAAACACAAATGCTACCCTTTCTACATAGTGCCTGTAAAATTTGAAAATTGTACTTAACTGACTGGATTCTAACATATGTATATTAATCCAATTCATCCCTTTCTGGTATCTAAGACATGCTTTCAAAATTGTCCATCTGCGTTACCTTAGTACATTCCCTAAGTGTTCTCTGAAAACAGCTCATCCCCAAACCGTCTTGGCTTTTACATTATGACATCTCAGGGGTAGATGTGGCCCTAACGGCGGGGAAAACGTTTACAAAAGTATTGATGGCTGGTCCTCAAGCTTTGGGATTTACCTTCCAAGAATTAAGCGGCACTGTCAAAACAATGCTGGCAACATTTTTATGAGGTTGCAAGGACCACGGTTACCGCAGCTACACGATGAATTATAACGTCAGAAGCAACCCAAGCGTTACTTCAGACCATCTTCACAGGAGAAGCGGGTATGAATCAGGCAAAAACATGAAAACAGGTACTGTGATTTTGCCATCTCTCATTTAGTTGAAGTAGCAGGAAGCAGGGAGTCAAGGACTTTAAAATCTGGCTCCAACATTCTCCACCGGGTCGCGTTCTCAAATCTCAGCCCAGGGCCGCTGACGTGAAGTCGCCTCTCTCGTGGGCATCCAGGGCTCGGAGATACCCAGCAGCTGAAACCCGGGGGCTTCAGAGTCTTGGAGGCCAGGAGCAGGCAGAGCGCTGGTGGAATGATGAGATTCTCCACCAGGTCGGCGCTCACCGCCCTACTCCATTTCAGTGGGTGGAGTTAAGAGCTGAAGCGCGATCTTCGCACCGCCGGGCCCACCTAGGCAGTGCCCGCCTTGCGTCTCAACACGATAGAGCATGCGCGGCAGGTAGCGGGGCGCACCCTGGCGGCTGCGACAGGCAGGCTGGGAGGCGGGGCCGCGCGTCTGCGCACGCGTGCTGGGACACATAGGCGGAAGTGGCCCGCGGGCGCCGGAGTTGCGAGTGTCTTCCGGGGAGGCGACCGCCGCGGTGGAAAGTACAGGAGTGGGAGAGGAGGAGGAGGTAGAGGAGGTGATGGCGACGGACCTGGGGAGGGGGAGATGCTCCGTGTGGCTGGGACGCCATCCAGGCTGTGGTCACCATTCCGGTTGACGTACCGGCCTTGGGGTATGCGTGCCTCCGGGTCCCTGCCTGTGTTTGGGACCTAGATCACCTCTCACCCAGAGAATCTTGACACTGCCTATCTTCCTCATACAGAAGGAGCAATCGAGGAGTGAATGAGGTCGGGATGGAAGAAACGGGTGACTCCCTTTTTTTAAAGAGCAGAAACCGGCCGGGACGGTTTCCAGGGAGTAGCATCTGTTTCTTCTCGCCCTTTTTTCTCCCTCGGGCTGGCGAGAACTCCCTCAGGTCCCAGTCTGTGGACTTGCAGGGGTGAGGTAACCTCAAAGGGTCTTTTACGCTGTTCTCGAGGTCTCTGCAGAACTGTCAGTCACCTGATTACATCTAGACTTAACTGTATTTGTAGTTAACCATTTCCGGGTTCCGTGTTTATTAAATAGGGGCACTCCAGGGTACTCTCAATCTCCATGTGGCTTTCAGTAGAATGTGATTGTTCTTGCCGGGCTATTAAGTTTATGGCATAAACTTCCACAAGAAGTTCTGCAAGTTTCCTCCAGTCTTTGCAACTGAATTTTCTCCTCCATCTTTTTATTATTTTTTGAGGAATATTGAAAGTAGAAGGTGGAATGATTTGGTGTGCTAACAAAATCCTTTTAAAGTGTAGAGTATCTGCATTTTTTCAGCATTAGGGTATCAGAAGTCTAGAATTGTTTCTTAATTAAACGTTTTTCTAAGTGAATTGAGATAGTTTGGAACTTGGAGGAGGCAGCATTTCAAAATAATTTAGCATTATTTTTACCTAATTACTTAAAACATAGATTAAGTCTAATGTTAACTTTTTCTCTTGAAAAAAAAAGAACAGTCTTCAAAAATTATGTTGTTTCTCCACCTTTGTGTAATGATGTGTATACAAAGAAATGAGATGGAACCTTGTTTTTTTCTGTTTTGTAATCATACACCATAGGCCCTGATTGATTACGAAGCGCAATTAATCAAGGCATAATGACATGGCAAGATTCTTTTATTTGTAACTTTGAGCGTGGCAAAATATCGTTAGAGTCACGTTTTTTCAGATTAATGACACCATAATGACTTCTTTTTCCATATTCTACCTTTTTTGGTGTGGGACGTTTTTCCTTCCGGTTGGAAAACTCAAAAATAAACTGAAATCATTGTGACTTCAGCAGGTCATCGTAACTCAACATTGTCACTAGTTAATTTTAATTTTTATATATGCATTGTATGCCAGAAATGCTACCTTTTTATTCCATTTTAGCAGTAGAATATCTGTGTTGACTTTAGGAAGAGGCCTCAGACAATGATACACACCTGTGATTTTTGTTTTAACATTTTAATTTCAAGGATTGCTGTGAACTTCCAAAGTAAAGCACAATGTTAATCATTTAGTCTGAAAACTAATTTTAATTCCGTGCTTCATTTTTGCCCCCTGCACCACAAGGACTTTGGCCCATTTCTTTTTTAGATGATAGTTAATATTGGTCATTAATGTTTGAAGTGGAAGGGATATGGCAAACATTCCCCAATGATCACAGTTGTTGGGTATCAGGTCTTCATCAGTCACGCTTTCTCACCAGTGATGTTCTTATTAATACAACAGCGTTCTAAGTACAAGGCTTTGAAGGGCAGGTTTTATGAGACTGATAGGAAGCAAATTTATTTTCATGTTCATTTCAAATGTTTTGTGGGGAATTTCAGTAGAGATGTTAGTATTTTTGCACACATGTAGAAAAGACAGTGCTAGAAAGATTTAGTTCTGCACTTGGGGCCTAGATCTGCAGCACATAAAGTTGCCAAGAAGTGTATTAGAAGCGGTAAAGTGTTGGAAGGGGGCAGAATAACGTCAGTTAAATAAATGGTGCTTCTAAAGTATGATAAAGTCCTTCATTTAATCTTATATTTTTGTTATGTGCTAGAACATCATATGAAGATACCATCTCTTGCCTTAAGGATTTCATATGCTTTTAGGAGAAACAAGCATAAAAACAAAAAAGCTATACTATTATAATTTAGGTATTTGTAAAAATATGTATAATACGATATTAGGGTACAGGACATCAACTCATTTTTAATTTCAAGGCCTTCTTCATGGGTCCAGCATGATCAGACATCACGTTGAGCCATGTGACAGATGGTTCAGAAAGGGAAGAGTTGATTATAAACAAGGCTAATCTAGTAATTTAAGCAAGAGAAAGTGGCTACCTGGTGCGGTAGGGTCTGAAACACATTTTAGATGTAGTTATAAATGTAGAGTTAACAGGAATCTTGGCAAAATATAGAATGTGAGGAAAAGGAAAGACTCGTAAGATAACTCCCAGATTTCTGGCCTGTGGTTCATACTAGGTACTGTTAAGTAAGATTGGGAATATAGGAACAAACAGTATATTTGTTTTGAGTGGAAAATAGTCAGCTTTGGACATTTTTAATATGAGGTACCAGCAGAGTTTATGAGTAGCTGTATCAAAGAAGCATTTAAACATAGATCTCTGGATCTCAGAGAGAAGCCAGGGTTGGAAATTCAGGTCCATATTTCCAGCTGCACATCAAAGGGGTGAGTCAGCTTCAGCACACCATATACCCTAGCAGTATTTCTAATGAGTTGAATAATGACGGCTAACACACTATGGACTGTCATATGCCAGGCACTTTTACTTTTATTCTTACAGTCCTAACAAAAATCCTGTGATAGGCACATTTTTAACTCCTCCCACTTTTGAAGGTACAGAATCTAAAGCTCAGAAAAGTTAAACAAATTGCCCAAGACTCCTCAGCTAATGAGTAGCAAAGCCAGATGTTGAATTCATACCTGTCAAAATTCCAAAGCATAGAGAAAGCATTATGCTATACTGCTTTCTTATTATATTACCTATCATTTTATTGAGTCCGTTTACTAAATTACTGCTTGGCAGTTTACTAAATTACAAACATCTCAGAAGAAGGTGACTTTGGGAAAGCGTGACCTTCTGGAGAAATGTTTTGATGTCAATAAAAGGAAAGATATTTTCTAGAAGTTTTATGTATGCTGTATGTATGTGTAAATAAGCATTATTTGTAATTTTTTCCCACACTTTTTCTATAAGATTTTCAGTTTTGCTCATAAAGTTTGTCAATACCACCATCCATTTCAAAAATCGTATCCAAGCAGAAGGTGAGTGATTGCAAGCTGAAGTTTGAGGGAGGATTAGTTTATTTGGTTCATCTGGATATCAGGTCAGAGTATATGCCAGGTACCAAGGACTCAGAGACAAATAAGATATGAGTCTTGCCTTTCAGTTTCTCTTTTCTAATAACTGGGGGGATTAGGGATGGTGTCACAAAGAGGGGAGGTTAAAGCTGAACTTCCAAACCTGACCTTGAGAAAAAAGACCTCAAGCTGAAAGGATGTCATGAACAGAAGGAAGGGGTGTTTGAAAGTCCGTGGTGTATTTCAGGAATAAAACATGGGTGGTTTAGGGCTTTATTGAAAGTGGAGGGAGAGCAAACTTAGAGACATATGTAAGGCCAAGTTTATTTGAATGGTATACTATATTCATGCCCACACATTATAGAAAAGAGTAATTGTTAAAGTTTTCATCTCTTCTACATTCAAACACAGGTTTGACCAAATATTTAGGAGACATAATTTAAAGCATGGTTTTAAAAGAAAGTCACATCTCGAAGTTACCTGCAAGATTACATAAAAAGTCTTACAAATGACAACAATTGAAACATAATATGGGAGGCAAGAACAAAAGAAAACAAGGAAACAGAAGAGGAACACAGTAAACTTCATGAAACTGCATGTTACTATTTAGAAATATGGCAGGTGTCCTATATAATGTTGTGGTGGCTGTGTATTGTTAGTTACAAGTTGTTTTCAGATCCTTGACCCCTCCTTTGATTACTAAGGATGACCTGGTTAATCTCTGTAAATTGGCAAACTGGAAGTGATCACGAAGGGGTGACTAATTTTGGCCACTTTAAACCATCTTGTAACAGTTTAAAAAAAAAAAAAATTACCAAAGGAAAACTCACTGTCAAATTATTCTTATTTGTCTTCATCCGCTGAGTTTAAATTTTTATTCCCAATGGAATTAAAAATAGATGCATTGTTTCTAAGAAAATAACTTATTTTACATAGCTTTGTTCTATACTTTGTCATAATTCTTCAGTCGGGAGTTCCTCAGTCTTCACGTGGAGTTCATTATTTCCGTTTATATAAATCCAAAGAGAAATTGGTGGCTCCATAATTTTTTTTCAGACTGACAAAAAATGACATTTTCTGCAGCCTTTTGTATCCCAGAAGAACGTAAATTAAAATGATTTGCTCCAGAAGAAGAAAATGTTTTTTAACCTAAGAGATGCTACTGCTAAAGCATATTATACTTTCTATAGTCTCTGATAAATCTAGCTTTTTAAGGGCCTTAGTTTTGTTTTTTGTTTTTCCCATTTATTTTCTAGAGACTGTCTGGCTCTGTCACCCAGGCTGGAGTGCAGTGATACAATCATAGATTACCGCAGCCTCAAACTCCTGGACACAAGTGATCCTCCTGCCTCAGCCTCCCAAGTAGCTAGGACTATAGGCATGCACCACTATACGCAGCTAATTTTTGTATTTTTTTTTTTTCTTTGTAGCGAGAGGGTCTTGCTATGTTGCCCAGGCTGGTCTTGAACTCCTGGTCTGAAGCAATCTCCCTGCCTCAGCCTCCCAAAATGTTGGGATTATAGGCATGAGCCACCACACCTGGCCTTAGTTTTTTTAGTTGATTTTTTAAATGTCATTAGCAAATATATCTTAGAATTGTCTTAGTATTTAAAGGAGAATTACTTATTTTTTACTCTTCCACAAGTAAATATTGACTTTATTTTTGAGAATGGTATGCATAAACTATAGAGAGGCAAAGGCATGCTTGGTTCTTTGGTGAAATACTAGCTTTTGTTGCTGTGGAAATAAGTATAGTGTATACTCAGTTTAGTGATGTACTGATCTTTATCAGTGGTAGACAAATTGTTTGAAGATTGCAGGCATATTGTTTTTGGTGGTTTGGAACCCAGAATACAACAGTTAACATACTAATGTCCAGAGAGAAACAGACTTATTTGTATCATTTTAAAGTATGATTTGGAATATTATTTGGAGGATTGAACTTTATCATCTAAATGTTTTCTTTTAATTGCTTATTTCCTTCTTTAGGACTTGATACAGCAAGCAAAAGACAGAACAAGAATCCAGGGAAACAGCAAAGTTAACTCAGAAAGCACTGAATGCAGCAAAGTAACAATGGATCTCAAATTCAACAATTCCAGGAAATATATTTCTATCACTGTGCCATCCAAAACCCAAACAATGTCACCACACATCAAGTCAATTGATGACATTGTGGTTCTTGGCATGAATCTCAGCAAGTTTAACAAAGTTACTCAATTTTTCATATGTGTTGCTGGAGTTTTTGTATTTTACCTAATTTATGGATATTTGCAGGTAAAAATTATATGATTGTAATATGTTAATGATAATAATTGCAGTCAATATGGGCACTTACTAGTTTTATCTAAGATAGTCACAGGGTACTGGCTGATTCATAAATTTGAATTTTTTGTATAGTAGAAGAAAAGAGCTTCTTAAAAGTAAGTCTGCTGAAAACAGATCAAAATTCAAGAGGTAAATATTTTAAGTGGAGAGGAGGGACATGTAGAGACTATCTTGAAAAAGCATAATTACGAAAATTAATTTTTAAATATTTAACCAAATGTAAGTAATATTGGTGACCATGTGTTTCCAAGAGAAAGAATGATTCAAGTATTGGTTGATGTCTTCCAACATTATTGAATGATAACATAGTTTGCTCTTGCTTCTTGGAGCTTAGTAATAAAAAATCATTTTTGCAACAATATATCAGGATATTTTATGGCTTTCTAATGGTATCTCTTGAATCCTATAATATTTGAATCATTTCTTTTTTAAGCACCTCTTATGTTCTCATTCTTATTGGCTTTGTCTTCTGACTTTGCCAGAATCTCACTGTTCTGTGATTTTTGCTGGCACAAAGCATTTCTAACATTCCAGCAATTTGTCTCGTATTTACATTATATTTGGAGAAGTTGTATACCTTTGGCCAGGAGCAAATTTCTGACCTTCGAAGACATGGGTTAGATGGGTGAGAATCCAAGCTAGTGAAAACAGGATGTTGGAATGGGTTCTAATTTTATTAATGGTTATTTAATTAGTGGATATTTTCCCATAACATGAGAAAGCCTTTGTAATTTAAGAAAAGGAAAATGATGTATTTTCTTAAAACACAGATAATATTTCCAATATTCTGTAGCACCAAAAAGTTAGTGAACTTAAAAATTGTTGTGTTCTTTTTCATTGTCTTGTGGATGAAATATCAAAGTAAATTTAAGTGAATGCGGAATTGTGACTGTTTTTTAGTTAGCTTGCAAAGAATGCTATGAAGAATATTAATGTAAAACAAAAACATGAATTAAAAATTTTAATATTTATGTAACTGATATTCCACTAGTAGGTGATATAAAACTTGAGATACCACAATGAAGAGCAATTAAAAATAGAGATTAGAATTTCTTGTTGAGAAACATTTTTTTTTTCAGCATACCAATGTTACCAAATAGCTTGGGAACAGAGTTAGCCATTGCAATGGAAAATGAATTTGAAATTTTCAATGTAAGTTTCATTAAACAAATTTTCTATAATTAATAATCAGATATTTTAAGTTATAATTGGTTTATGCAAAGTTTTTTTAAATTACACAAACCCCAGCTAATTATGTTTATAACTTGACCACTTCATTTTGTGAAAACTGACATTGCTACTATTATATATACTTATATATCAAAATAGTTCAAAGAAAATGGTTGGGGTTTGGTAATGAAGTGTCTTTTATAGATATACCCATATTCATATATACACTTCATTTATTCAGTGTGATTTATTGATTAATTTGATTTATTCAATTAAAATTAAACCAGATAACTTTATTAGAATACATCTTAATGACTTGTTAAGAATGGCTTATTAATAACTGATGTAAATATTACAAGAATTTCAAAAAATAACATCAGTATGAAAGAGCTTCTAATCTCTCTAATTTACTTTTTTTTTGTCGTCGGAGGTGGGGCTTGGTTTCTTTAAAAATGTTGTGTTTATAAGAATTTATTGTGAGGAAATTAATGTGCTGCCTTGGACTTAACAGTGTTCATGTGTCTTTTGGCAGGAATTAATATTTTCAATGGAGAGTTTTAAGTCCTATGGCTGGTACCTTACTTTAGTGCAGTTTGCCTTTTACTCCATATTTGGCCTAATAGAACTTCAGCTTATTCAGGACAAAAGGAGGAGGTATGTGGTTTTCTGATATTTCACTTGTATTAGTTGAATTTTTTTTTTGGCATACTGAATATGCATGAAATGTATACTTCCTACTAACAAAACATCTAATAAGTATGATTTTTTATCAGTATTACCAACTTAATAATATTAAATATGTTGTATTCATTTATGCACTGAAAAAAATGAAGTCTCTTCTCAAATACAGTGTTACAAAATAAAAAATAATAGCTTTAGGCTCAACTGACAGTGTTATATCTTCTTAAAACGTGGTAAAATATTTAGATGTACATACTTGGTTTTTATAAATTTCACTGAAGTAGGTGCAGTTACTCATTTCTAATACAACTAACATCACAGTGGTGAAATGAAATCTGAGTTTCAGGTCAAGCATTCCTAATCCAAAAATGCTCCAAAATTAGAAAATTTCTGAGTGCCAATGTGATACAAGTGGAAGCTTCCAAACATAAGTACTTAACACACAAAATTTGTGTACAAAATTGTGTAAAATGTGCACTGTGGCTCCAGAACAGCTGGGACACAGGGCACCAACTTCCTAGGCTGCACACGAAACCATTTTTTCCTCCTAGGCTTCCTGGTCTGTGATGGGAGTGGCTGCCATAAAGACCTATGACATGCCCTGGAGACCTTTTCCCCATTGTCTTGGGGATTAACATTCAGCTTCTTGTTATTTACACAAATTTCTGCAGCCAGCTTGAATTTCTCCTCAGAAAATGGGTTTTTCTTTTCTACTGCATGGTCAGGCTGCAAATTTTCTGAACTTTGCTCTATTTCCCTTTTTAAATGGAATGTTTTCAATAGCACCCAAGTTACCTTTTGAATGCTTTGCTGCTTAGAAATTTCTTCCACCAGATACCCTAAAATTATCTCCCTCAAGTTCAAAGTTCCACAAATCTCTAGGGCAGGGGCAAAATGCTGCCATTCACTTTGCCAGTCCCTTGTTATGTCTAAAGGTGACATAGCAAGAGTCACCTTTTCTCCAGTTCCCAACAAATTCCTCATCTCTATCTGAGACTACCTCAGCCTGGACCTTGCTGTTCATCACTGTCACCTTTTTTGCCAAAGCCATTCGGCAAGTCTCCAGGTGGTTCAAAACTGTCCCACGTTTTTCTGTCTTCTGAGCCCTTCAAATTCTTCGAACCTCTGCCTGATACCCAGTTCCAAAGTCACTTCCACATTTTTGGGTATCTTTTTAGCAACGCCCCATTCCTGGTGCCAATTTACTGTATTAGTCTTTTTTCATGCTGCTGCTGATGAGTTACTCAAGACTGGGGAGAAAAAGAGGTTTAATTGAACTTATAGTTTCACCTGGCTGGGGAGGCCTTAGAATCATGGCAGGAGGTAAAAGGCACTTCTTACATGGTGGCAGCAAGAGAAAATGAAGAAGATGCAAAAGTGGAAATCCCTGATAAACCATCAGATCTTGTGAGACTTATTCATTACCATGAGAACAGTATGGGGGAAACCATCCCCATGATTCATATTATCTCCCACTGGGTCCCTCCCACAACATATGGGAATTATGGGAGTACAGAATTCAAGATGAGATTTCAGTGGGGACACAGAGCCAAACCATATCAAAAATGTTCTATAAAATTACCTTCAGATTATGTATATAATATATATATGAAACATAAATAAATCTCATATTAAGACCTGTGTCCCATTCCCCAAGATATCTTACTATGCAGATGCAAATATTCCAAAATCGAAAAAAAAAATTTTTGAAATTTGAAACACTTCTGGTCCCCACCATTTTGGATGAGGAATACTCAGTCTGTATCTGTTTTCATACTGCTTTTTTAGAATGTGAAGTTAATGTTATGTTTTGTGGGATATGCCCCAGCTAACATTGCCATATGCTGTCTGATAGCTGAGGTTGCATTCTTAAGCATTAGAGAAACACATTTTATTCCTTTTCATCAAGACCAAATGTGCTTGTTTGACAACTATCATTTCAGTTAGCAACCATCTAGATGTGAGAAATATCTTGATATATTTTTAATGGCGTATAGAACAATATGCAGTGGAACTTAGTCTCTGATTTTAAACAGAAAGTGATTAGGAATTTGAATATAAAATTTTCTTGGATAATGTAAGAAGTGTACGCATTCTGTCATACTCTAATATGTGTATATATCATGTATCTATGGGGCAGTTTAAATGTAATAACGGCTGTAATACCAACATACTAACCTTGATACAAATGTTTAATCCTTTAGTGAAGATTGCAAAAATTGTGCAGCTTTTTTTTTTTTAACATAAAATGGTTTTGAAGTTTGTATCAAAGTAACTACAATTAAAAATATTTAAATCTATATTACACATTTCTTCGTGGGTCTCATTTTGCCTCTCAACCTGTCTTTATTGCCGATAAATTATTATAGCAATTATTGTAAAAATATTTGAACCTTAGAATATCATCTTCATTATTTTTATGTTCTATCATGATTCTCCATGATAGAATTATGGAGGCAAGGTGATGAAATCCAGCTTCCTCATTTTACCAATAAGAAAACAAAGACCTAGAAGAGTACCGGAAATAGCCATAAGTGATAGAATACAAAGTAATTAAATGTATCTGTCAAGACTAATACATAAGGAAGCCTTATGATGATTCACTACTTAACTACTGGGCCTCTGATTGAAAAGACACTAATACTGTCCTTTGTATGTGAAAAATGATGCAATGAAGATGCATGTCCTAACTGTAAGATTTCAGAAAGAAACACCTCCCTGTCAGATACCCAGATGAGGGGGAAGGGGGCCTCAAGTCATGTTTATCCTTTTAAACCATGTGACCATAACATATTTAAACATCAAATAATTTGTTTTCGATTTAAATATAAATGAAAGAATTTGGGAAGAGAATTTATGTATTTATAATAAATGTAATTATGAATTGAAACCTTTTCCTTCCAAGGTACAAGAAAACATTTTTTTAAGTCTTTAAAGGTATGTTACAATAAAAATATGCCCAATCATGTATTTCTGAATTTATTTGTGCAAATACATCCATATCTGAATTTATTTAATGGTGCTGCACCCTGAAGTACATTGTAAATTCTAATATCCTAAATATACTGCTTATTATTTTTCACCAAAGAATACCTTTTAACATTAATTACTGTAAGTTTTTAATGAAGGAGAGCTGTCAGATTTGTCTTGAACAGATTTTTAAAGTTAAAATTTTCTCCCCAGCTGGGCGTGGTTTCTCACGCCTGTAATCCTAGCACTTTCGGGTGTATCACTCGAGATCAGGAGTTCAAGACCAGCCTGACCAGCATAGTGAAACCCCATCTCTACTAAAAATATAAAAATTAGCCAGACATGGTGGTGGGTGCCTGTAATCCCAACTACTCGGGAAGCTGAGGAAGGAGAATCGTTTGAACCCAGGAGGCCTCGGAGTGTGCAGTGAGCTGAGATTGTACCACTGCACTCCAGCCTGGGCAACAAGAACAAGACTCCATCTCAAAAAAAAAAAAGTTTTCTCCCCATGTCTAAGGAAGCAAGCAATTGAAGAATTAAATAGCATCCTGGAGGCAGGCTGATCAATTCTAATTTCTTCATTTTACCAATGAGAAAACAAAGACTTGGAGGAATGCTGGGAATTTTTTTAGCTCCCTTTGGAGCTACTTTTGGATTTAGTTCTCCTGAGTTTCAAGGTGGCTTTCTTTCTACCTGTGCTGTACTGCGTTTCTACTCATTCTTTTTAATTTTTCTGACTTGAATTTTTATTTTCTGCCAATGATTTGCCATTTATCTTTGAGGCAATCTGACAACCATGACTTGTATCATTACCTGGAGAAGTGGTCCTCCACCATCACTGATGATATCCCAGTGAAGGTCCAGTCCCATGGACAGCATGAGCACGTTTACACTGATGTATGGGCATGCCAAGTTATTTCCATGTGGATTTTCACAGATGACTACTATATTAGTAGTTAAGTAGAAAAGAAACCTCAGAATCAAAATGTAACTGATGCGTTTTAGTTGACTTTTTCCAGTAAATTATTTTACCTTATATCTAACCATATATAAGATGAGGAATTTTGATTTCAATGTGAACACAAATTCTAAAATGGAAATTGCATCTATGCAGCATTATTAATATGAATAGAGCCTCATTTTGTTCGTCATATCAGTGTACAAGATTATTAGTTTAGACCATTAAATACATGGTCAAAGTGAGCGTATGCTCACAGAAATGGCTCAAATTCTGAAGATGCTAAATTAAGGCTCTAGATAGATTGAAATCATGAGGAGGGAGTCAGATACCTCATCTTAAAGTTGATTATTATAACATAGAATACAGAGAGATGATCTATAAGATAATTGTTATAAAAAATATATCTAGGGTTTTAAACCACATAAACTTTTTCTAGAGAAATTATTCTGGGGTTATTCTAGCAGAATGAATAGATGTATTTTTCCTAATGCTAGATGGAAACATTAGAAAACAACAATTCAAGAGTTAAAAATTAACAGTTTTAAAATTGTTAAGGTGTCTTTTACCGTCATGGAGGCCAACATTAGCTGGGCGTGGTGGCGCATGCCTGTAGTTCCAGCTACTCAGGAGGCTGAGGCAAGAGAATCACTTGAACCCATGAGGCAGAGGTTGCAGTTAGCTGAGATCATGCCATTGCACTCCAGCCTGGGCAACAGAGCGAGACCTTGTCTCCAGGCGCCTGTAATCCCAGCTGCTCAGGAGGCTGAGGCAGGAGAATCACTTGAACCCAGGAAGCGGAGGTTGCAGTGAGATGAGATCACACCATTGTACTCTAGCCTAGGCGACAGGGTGAGACTCCGTCTTAAAAAAAATAAAATAAAAAAAACTCTTAATCTCTAACTTTGGTTAAGATGGTTTTTATTTGTAGCCAGAACTGCTGTCAAAGAAAACCTTTTGTCAACATTTATACCTTCAGTAAAAATCTAAACCCTTTTTTTACATAACTGAGTGGCCTCGTTTATGGTTGACTAAATCAAAGTAAATTGTTAATTTTACTAACTTTTTTATACAAGAGTATTACGATTTTCAAATAGTGATATTTTTACTGATATTTCCAGAAATATTAACCAGAAATTAGAAAAGTAATTAGACATTTACACATTGTGAACACATTATATTTCAGTAGTATGAATTGGGTCCCAAAATGAAGGTGTTAAAAATTGTCTTTTACAGAATACCAGGAAAAACCTACATGATAATAGCTTTTCTAACTGTGGGTACTATGGGATTATCAAACACTTCCTTGGGCTACCTGAATTACCCTACCCAAGTCATCTTCAAGTGCTGCAAATTGATTCCTGTTATGCTAGGAGGAGTTTTTATTCAAGGTATAGTAATGATATGTTTTTATACTATTTAAAACTAATAGGCTATGTTATGGCATCTAGCATTAGGAAAAACATTAAACTTCTGTTATATTTTCAATGAGCATTCTAGATATTATGACAATTCTGAATGATGTCTTACCAAAATAAGTTATTAAAAACACTGATCTCTCTCTGATACGCCTTAGTATCTGAAGTCAGTAATTTGGACTTAGGGAAAAAAAAAAAACTTTGTTCTATTATTTTATTTTGGAATCTACCACATTTCCAGCAATATCATGGTTAAATGTTGAAACCCTAACTCAAAAGTACCTGGAAAGGTCCCTTTTTTCAGTTCCTTCATGTTTCTACTCTCCAGGGCTCCCACACTTCACCTTCATTGTACATGGGCATTTCTCATATTGAAGTAAAGCTTAATCTGAGCAGAACTGCATTTTTACCAATCTTGCTGGCTTAGTGATTTGTAGGGCCCCAGCTAAGTTACAAGTTTTGTGGAAATATGAGTAAAAGAAAAGGCAGTAATAGTAACAAGTAGTGGACCTATCATATTAATTGTCATGAGGAATATTCATGTTTTAATAGTCTAGTGTTTCTGTATCACGGAAATTCTTATACAGCCTGATTTCATTTATGCATTAGATACCATTCCAGAATAAGCCTTTAAAAATGAAAGTGTTGTCAACTGCTTCATGTATCATGTCAGGATAACTTCATATAGGAAAAAATAATTGACCCTAATCCCTATTAAAAATCATATTTAGGCTGGGCGCTGGGGCTCACAGTTATAATCCCAGCACTTTGGGAGGCAGAGGCGGGTGGATCATGAGGTCAAGAGATCGAGACCATCCTAGTCAACATGGTGAAACCCCGTCTCTACTAAAAATACAAAAAATTAGCTGGGCTTGGTGGTGCACACCTGTAGTCCCAGCTACTCGGGAGGCCGAGGCAGAATTGCTTGAACCCAGGAAGCGGAGGTTACGGTGAGCCGAGATGGCATCATTGCACTCCAGCCTGGGTAACAAGCAAAATCCGTCTCCCAAAAAAAAAAAAAAATCATATTTAGTGTCCCAACTGACTAGGCACATATAATATTGTCCTTATAATCCTTACAAAAATTCACAGTACATTTTATTTTTAAAATAAGGATATATTAAAATAATTTAATTTTCACCTGCCTGGAAGTTACCTCATCATTATGACATTTGCAAACTTAGAGTCATATAACCAGAATCATTACTTTGGTTACTTTGTAAACTTAAAAACTAGAAGAAAATTCATAACCTTTTATTATGCATAAAGTAAAACAGGCACTACATTTCCAGGAAATTTTTTAATGTGTGTAGGTGTTCATTATTCTTGCTGTCAGTTTTTGCTGAAATACGTATTTTAGTGTCACTATTATACCAGATAAAGTAGCTCTCGCTTCTAACTTACAGGGACATATTAGCTCCCTTTGGTAGTTTTCAGAAGCCCTCTTGTGACTGTCTTCTGCCTTGACTTAACTGTTTACGTTTTTGGCATTGGATATAAAAAAAAAAAAAAAATCCCTGCTGTACTTAACACAGAGCTAACACAAAGCTGGTTGGATATTTGCATAATTAAGCCAACTTACAGTTGTTTTATACAGGAAAGCGTTACAATATTGCAGATGTGTCTGCCGCCATATGTATGAGCCTCGGTCTGATATGGTTTACCCTCGCTGACAGCACAATTGCACCAAATTTCAACCTGACAGGTAAGCAATTTATTTGTATTCTTACTTTACAGGCATTTTAGTTTAGAATACGAATTTCTAAAATTTCTTAAGGATTTTAAATGATAGTATAACAGCTGCGATATTCATATCTAATCAAGCTTTTGGACTTTCCATATAAGATGTAACAATATTACAGCTCTGTAGATAAAACTGTTTGTTTTTTAGTGTGCTTGCATTTTGACAGGGCAGGAGGCTATTTGCCCAGTCAAAAACTTTGATAAGCAGAATTGGAAATGGACACATGAGTTATAGGAGAATAACAATAGTAATCATTTTCAACTGTCATTTGAAAAAAAACTTTGCACTTGCACATTTACATGTCACTGCTTTAGCTAAAGAAGGAAAGGTATGCTGTGCTGTTATAGTTAGACAGTTTAGTATAAATATAAACATTACCTTAAAGGAGCGAACATATGAAAGGATTCTGCACTCTGTGGTACACTTTTAAACAAAAACTCCTTGGAAATCTTGGAAAATGTGTGCTATGAGTGTGTTTGTACAAAAGAGAAAATACAGTATTCTAGTCAGGACCCATGCTCAAAGAAAAAGGCCTTGGCAGCTTCATGCATGTTTATGTGATTTAAATGAAAGATTTTAGTAATAATAAGGTTTTTCAAAAATAACTTTACTCTTCATCTTTTTTTTTTTTTTTTTTTTTTTTTGGTGGTGGTGGTTCTTTTCTTTAACTGACTAGCCACCAATCCCAATGGATAGATATCCTAAGAGTTTCTTCTACGCTTATGGAACTAGTGGAACTATTCCACTAGTGGAATATTTAGGGAACTGTTATTTTATATGCTATTGAAATGTGATAATGATGACAGCACTAACTCAGTTTCTTTTTTAAATGTCGTCCCCTACGTATTTGTTACAACTGATGGTGGATTATAATATTCTGAATTACCAAACAAATATAGTTGAAGATATGCTTTTGTTTTTTAGACCGATAAAATTTCTCATAAAACTTGATTAGTGTTCATATGTTTAAATAAGGAGTTTTTTCTGTTTGTTTGTTTTTTTAATACCTTCTTGAAGGTGTGGTGCTTATTTCCCTGGCACTATGTGCAGATGCTGTCATTGGAAATGTTCAAGAGAAAGCTATGAAACTTCATAATGCTTCTAATTCTGAAATGGTAAATACTCTAGTGCTTTTTCTTCAAATTAGACAAACTTAAAAAATGGTGATGTACCTAATTTGATGAAATAGTTATCATATCAAAGACTAGCATTGCATTTTTAAACTAGTTTATCATTTTTATAAAAGTAATACATTCAAACATTCTAGGAAGGTAAAAACTAAAACTACAACTAGCACTGCTGCTTGTTGTATAGTTGACAGATTTTTTTCTCATGGATTTAGTTTTCTATGTATTAAAAAAAATCTTTTGTTACATTATTTCTCTCCTCTCTTTCTAGTGTGTAGTATTTTTCCATGTAGAAGTTTGTAATTTTTATACAGCCCAATTTGTCTTTTCTTTGCTGGCTTCTGGCTAAGTATCATGGTCGAAAATAACTTTCCCAACCCTGAGATTTTAGAACATTTCATCCTTGTTGCCTACTAGTTTTGCGATTTCCTTTATTATTAAGCCCTTGATCCAATCTAAAACTTTAAAAAAAAAAAACAAAAACTTTTCTTTCAAATGACTACCCATTTTTTCCAATACCATTTATTAAATAATCTACTTTCAGCTCATTTTAAATGCCCTCTTTATCATAACATACTCTAGTGTAGCATTCAGAATTGTATTTTGAATTTATTTTTGCAATAGTACATATAATGACAGCAGCTTTATCATACATTTATTATCTGTTAGGACTAGCTACCATTGTTCCTTTTCTTTTGCAGAGTATTACTACCAGTAGTTATTCTGGGGTGTTTATATCCCCAAATAAACTAAAAATTCCATTGGTATTGTGATTGGTATGGCATTGAATTATAAATTAATTTAGGGAGAATGGCATCTTGATTATTTCAATCAAGAATAAGGTATGACTTTTCTTTTACTCACGTGGTCTTTTTTTTCCAATGTCCATTAGAGTTTAAAGTTTTCTTCATGTAAATCCAGCACATTTCTTATTAAAGGTATTGTTAATAACTTATTAAAGTTTTATTTCATCTTTTTGCAGTTATTGCAAATAATGTCTTTCTGTGTTGTACCTACTTTTTATATAGGAAAATGTGTGTGTGTGTGTGTGTGTGTGTGTGTGTGTGTGTGTGTGTGTTTGCATTGATTTTATAACCAACCACTTGCTGGATAGAAACAGCATACTAAATTAAAGATAGACAGAACTATTCTTTTCTGTTATTTTCTTGACACAGAATGGGACAACTTAAGTATTCTCTAATAACAGGAAACTGGTTAAGATTTTTTTTGATCATCATCACTACTCATTGTAGATAAGGTAAGGAGGGGCACAGAGAGAATTGAGGGAATGTAGGTGGTTAGTTGATATAATGCAGTGGTTATGATGGTAGACTCTGCAATAAGATAACTCAGTTCATATTCTGGCTTTACTAGCTGTCATTTGGGGAAAATTACTTAATATCTCTAAGTTCTAGTTTCTTCATCTGGAAATTGGATTATGATGACAAGAATGCCCATCTTCTAGGGTGGTTGTAAGAAGTAAATAGAATAGTCCATACCAAGCTTCAGCACAGTACCTGCCTGACACAGGGCAGCTATTTAGGTTTGCTGCTGCTGCTGCTAATTCTGTTTATGAAAAGCATAGCAAATTGGGATTAAAAGGTTGGTTGGAAAATAGAGAAGTTAAGCAGTAGATATGCCATATACTGATTATTTTCATTATATTTTAATGTCTTTTAGAAACTTAATGTTTGTTTATGTTTTATAAGTAGCTTTAAAGCTTTTTGTTTTGTTCATTTAAGGATACTTTTTTTGAACTCTGACAACGAAAATCTGGTTTGATTTCAGTAATTAAGCCTAGAAAGAAATGAATATGTAAGCATATATGAAAGGATTAGTATTAGTAGGTGTTATTTTGTACATAAAATGAGGCATAGACTTACAAAACATTATAGTCAAATATTATTTCTGGAAACTTGGACCATATTGAAATGATAATGTTTCTTTTAAAATGTTTGTTCTGCAAACCTAATTGTGCCATATAGTTAAAACCCTTGATCTTCCACTTTGAGTTTGATAGTACTTTTTTCTGCTTTATTTTTATCTGCTCTAGGTGCTGTATTCGTACTCAATCGGTTTTGTGTACATTTTACTGGGATTAACATGCACTAGTGGATTAGGCCCTGCAGTAACATTTTGTGCAAAGGTAAACACTAATCACATTTTTTAAAAAAGATAAACATCTTCTGTTAAATAATTTTCTCTATATTTCTAATTTTCCTTGTTCAAAAGAGGCTATCATACATATACCTCCTTTAATATGACATATGCTAATCAGAAATTAATTTCAGAAATGATTGATATTTAAATTCATTTTAAGCTTTTATAATGTAGGAAAGTTGAGGATCTTTAATTTCCACATTATTTTTTCATTAAATCAAAATAAGAATATTTGCTTGACTGCATTGTCAAACAGCTTATTGCTCAAAAAGTTGATTAAAATCTGTAGTTTTATTTTATTTCTAATACCTCGGGGTTTGTTTTACATTTTTCTGACAGGCTTTTTTATTTGTTGCAGAATCCAATTCGGACCTATGGTTATGCGTTCCTTTTTTCCCTTACTGGATATTTTGGAATCTCCTTTGTTCTGGCTTTGATTAAAATTTTTGGTGCACTTATTGCTGTCACAGGTAGGAGAGACTTACTTGCTTTGATTATGAAATAAGCATTTACATTTTCTCTGATGCTCTTTTTCAAAACATAAGGGCAACATCTCCTTTACATTAAAAAGAAAATTAACATATTTCACCAACATATTCTTTGGCTTATGGTGTTTCTTTAGAATTTGATCTTAATTTCTTATTTTGAAATTGAACTTATACATTTATCAGAATAGTAACATTAAAAGAACTTTCTATAAAATTATGATGAGATGAAAACCTCCAAGGAAAGTACCGCATCTATATTCTTTTAACCTATAACTGAAAATTTCAATTTTGTTGCATTTCAAGTATGAGAGGTACACTTTAAACAAGCTTTTTAGGCCTTTCATTTGTACATTTTCTAAGACAACAACCAGATTAGCTTCCCTTTCCACCAGTGACCACTATGCGCCTGCTCCATGCTTGGTCTTTGCTTGGCCCTGTAGAAGAATCAGTTGTATTTGTTCTGCTTTGGAGGAGTGTACAGCCTAGTCAGAGGAACAGATGACTCAATATGCCACCTGTGTCATTTGCCAAAACTGTAAGGTACAGCCTTTGCCTTAGAGGTCCAGGCAGTTTTTCTCTCTCACATAAAAGAAAGCCAGAGTTGGTAATAATCATAGCTAATATGTACATAGCCTTAGTATGTGCCAGACACCATTATTTTAATCTCACAACAGTCCTATAAATTAGGCACTATGATTGTTCCATCTTACGGATGGATAAACTGAGATACAGGAAGGTTAATGACTTGACTCAGTCAACCAGAGGCAAGTTCCAGCAATGGCAGTCTGGCTGCACACCTGTGCTCTTTACCGTACTACCACCTCTAAGCTGGTACGGTAACTCTGTGGTCGTGAGAAACCTATGCTCCTTCTGTCCACTGCGCTATCTTCATCCTGATGCTATGCAATGGGATAGAGTAAGAGAAGATGAAAATCCTAAAAGTTCTGGGGTACATGTGCAAATCGTGCAGGTTTGTTACATAGGTATACATGTGCCATGGTGGTGGTTTGCTGCCTCCATCGCCCCGTTGTCTGCATTAGGTATTTCTCCTAATGCTATCCCTCCCCAATTCCCCAATCCCCTGCTATTCCTCCCCTAGCCCCCTGACCCCCAGGCCCCAGTATGTGATGTTCCCTTCTCTGTGTCTGTGTGTTCTCATTGTTCAACACCCACTTATGAATGAAAACATGCAGTGTTTGGTTTTCTGTTCTTGTGTCACTTTGCTGAGAATGATGGTTTCCAGTTTCATACATGACCCTGCAGAGGACATGAACTCATCTTTTTTATGGCTGTGTAGTATTCCATGGTGCATATGTGCCACATTTTCTTTATCCAGTCTATCATTGATAGGCATTTGGGTTGGTTCCAAGTCTTTGCTATTGTGAACAGTGCCACAGGAAACATACGTGTGCATGTGTCTTTATAATAGAATGATTTATAATCCTTTGGATATATACCCAGTAATAGGATTGCTGGGTCAAATGGTATTTCTATTTCTAGATCCTTGAGGAATTGCCACACTGTATTCCACAATGGTTGAATTAATTTACACTCCCACCAACAGTGTAAAAGTGTTCCTATTTTGCTACATCTTCTCCAGCATCTGTTGTCTCCTGATTTTTTAATGATCACCATTCTAACTGGTGTGAGGTGGTATCTCAATGTGGTTTTGATTTGCGTTTCTCTAATGACCAGTGATGTTGAGCTTTTTTTCATGTTTGTTGGCTGCATAAATGTCTTCTTTTGAAAAGTGTCTGTTCATATCCTTTGCCCACTTTTTGACGGGGTTGTTTGGTTTTTTTCTTGTAAATTTGTTTAAGTTCTCTGTAGATTCTGGATAGTAACCCCTTGTCAGATGGGTAGATTGCAAACATTTTTTCCCAGTTCTGTTAGTTGCTGGTTCACTCTATTGATAGTTTCTTTTGCTGTGCAGAAGCTCTTAAATTTAATTGGATCCCATAGATGACTATTTTTAAAGAATAACCCCTGCCTCTACCTAATCATAGTTTCCTTAGGAAAGCCTTTATTTTCTGCCAAACCACATCTCTCTAGGACTTACTCTGGCTTCATAATACCATGGCCTCCATCAAGTACTTATTACAGTTGTACCCTAACATTTAACTGTATTAATTATTTAATGTCTGTTTCCCTACAAAATTAAACTCCGTAATAACAGGAACAATGACTTTTGTGTGTTTGGCTGGTTGGTTGGTTTTTACTTTCCATTGTTGTCTTGGCACCTCTCACAGATTCTGGCATATAGTCAGCTCTAGTTTTTTGCTCCTACAGTGACAACAGGAAGAAAAGCAATGACCATTGTACTTTCGTTTATATTCTTTGCTAAACCATTCACATTTCAGTAAGTACTTTTTAATTAAACAATGTTCTCAATTTGTAAATACTGTGTTTCACATTTTCTCTTAATCTTAATTTCAACTTTTCTACATTTTCTTTTTTTGTAGTAAGTGTGTTAATTTTTATATAAATGAATGTGTGTGTGTGTGTGGTTTTTTTTTTTTCCCTGTTACACTTTATAAAGAAACCTTTTCATCTTGACCTCTTATCTATCACGGTGTCTTCTGCTATTTTGGAAATGTTTATAATTTATTATTTTGAATTTTTCATTTTGTATACTTAAATTGCCTAACCAGAGCCCTGTGCAAATGTGACCTGTTTCTATTATGAATGAATGTGAGTGATGTGTATGTTGTTGAGTTTAAGGGATTCCCTTTGCCGTACTGCAGATATATAAATTATATATTTATAGCACCTGCTTTTAAAAAGTATTAGTTTATTTGATGCCTGTTTCCACAAAGGATTTAAGGTAGAGAAGTAACCTGTAAGTTATATCCTAAAGACTTACTTAGCTTGTATTGTGTGTGTGTGTGAAAGTGTTTACTATCATATTGTTTTTACTATTTGTTTGAAATTAGTATCATTTAAACTTATATTGGTCAGGATTGTGAAGTTTCCTACCAAAAACTTAGCAATCTATAAGTTTAGAGGGAACCATAAAATTAATTTCCATCAATGTATTATTATTTGTCTATCGACTAGTTTTTCTTTCTGCATGTACTAAGTATAATATATAATAGTATTATACATAAATATAATTATAATGATTCCCCTACTTTCTCAGGGATGTTTCTCTTTTTATTTCTTTATGTTCTACCCAACTAAGACAACGAGTTGGACAGCTGAGTTTAATTCCCGAAATGGCCTTTGGTAGATATACACATCCAGTGCTTTAAGTATATTATTAAGACTTCTGGTAGGGATTGTACTTTGAATATTATACCCAAAGTTAAAATTAACTGTATCTTATATAATATTTTATAACGTGTCTTTCTCTATATATACTTAATGTATTAATAAAAGATACAGAATTTAATCTCATCTAAGAATACTATTTTTATTTTAATGCTATTATTGTAAGCTTCTAATAGCAGAATTTTACTTCACTGAAGAATTATTATGGAAAGACTACCAATTCTATGGTTAACAGTAAATTGTTACTTTGCTCATTTTAATGTTTTTTTCCTTATTTCTTCCTCTTAGGTATGTATGGTCTGGTCTGTTAGTTGTCCTTGGTATATTTCTCAATGTTTACAGCAAAAATATGGATAAAATAAGACTACCATCACTGTATGATTTGATAAACAAATCAGTGGAAGCAAGAAAGTCAAGGACGTTGGCACAAACTGTGTAGACAGTGATTTGTTCTATATTAATTTTAAGGGAACAATCATCAATTAATTAACTTGCCAAAGGGACTGATAAAAAACCAAAGGATCTGGAGGCATTGCTATCCTGTTTGTGGATAGATGACATATGACGTTGTTTGTGGTGTCAGCCTTTTCTTCAGAGCACTTATTTGACTTCTGAAGCAATCAAGAGAGCTGTGTCTAGCACACTTTACAGTTAAACGTCAATATGAAGGATTGTACTTCCTAGCAGTTTATTGAGAATTTCACTGGAAATGGACCATGTATTGCAAGACTAATTGGCTATAATTTTGACATATCAAAGAAATTGCTATGTAATAGCAGATTGTTTTATATTCATTCCATTTTGATGCTGTTATTTAAATTGATTCTCTGTTATAAGAGTAAACCAATGAGTTGTCTGGACAGAAAACATTCATTATAAATAAAATTATTCTGTGATCTTTTTTCAAGATGGGTTAATAGAATTTTGTTATAAAGAGAGAAATGGAGGTTGGAGTAGGGCTTAACATGAATTTTAAAACTTAAGAGTTTTTTCTCATTTAAAAGTATTCTTTAGAGCAGGGGCTCCCAAACCCCAGGCTGTGGAGTGGTAGTAGTCCGTGGCCTCTTAGGAACCAGACCATGCAACAGGAGGTGAGAGGCTGACAAGTAAGCATCACCACCTGAGCTCCACCTCCTGTGAGATCAGCAGCAGCATTAGATTCTCATAGGAGTAGGAACCCTATTGTGAACTGCACATGATAGGGGTTTGGGTTGCACGCTCCTTATGAGAATCTAATGCCTGATGATCTGAAGTGGAACAGCTTCATAGTTTTATCCCCAAATGATCCCATGCCCCAGTCCGTGGAAAAATTGTCTTCCACGAAACTGATCCCTGGTGCCAAAAGGGTTGGGGACCATTGATTTAGAAAAGACATGCTTTAAGTTTTATGTAGAATATAGGCAAGGTAGTAAAAATAGACATCATTCTGCACCATGTAAGTATGTGTCATAAGAAAAATTTGCTACAGTTTGCCCAAGTAATCTCAAAGGATTAATGATTGGATTTTTGTTTAATTGAAGAAAAGGTAATTGACATCTCAAAATTATAAGAAAATAATTATAAAGTTATCCTAGTTTTTTCCATAAAAGTGAGATTTGGTTTGGAAGTTTGAGGACAAAGTAGGATAAATTTAAGAAACACAATTAGAATTAGCAAATTCGGACAATATTTTCTCCCTTAGCACTCAGACTGCTATAGTAAAATACCATAAACAGGTAGCTTGTAAACAATGGAAATTTATTTCCCACAGTTCTGATGTCTGGAAGTCCAAGATGGAGGTGCTGGCAGATTTGGTGAGGGCCTGCTTTCTGGTTTGTAGAAGGAGCCTTCTCACTGTGTCCTTATATGGTGAAGGGGCAGATAAGCTCCTTTGGGTGCTAATCCCATTTTTAAGAACTCTGCTCTCTTGACCTTATCACTTCCCAAAAGGCCCCACCACGGAATACAATCACTTTGGGAGTTAGGATTTCAACATATAAATTTCAGGTGGACACAAACATTCAGACCATAGCAATATTGCATGCATAGTTTTGAGTCTAAATTCAAAGATTTGGGTACTTCTTTTTAGTATTGATTTTTAGAATTGCTTCTATTCTATTATTTTAAAATTCTGTTATTCATTTTTCAATAGAAATCATACTGGTTTAAAAAGCTTAGTGCTATTGGTGAAACTGTTTATATTTTGTGAGTATAATATACTTAATCTCATTCTTAAAATTCCATTGTATTTTGATGGCTACTTTAACCTGTTATGTGTGTATGTGGAGACAACAGAGCCTGTATCATGGAGGGGTCCAGCATGAGGAATTCTGACTGGTTTTCATTTGTCTGTTCGCTAAAATACAGTTGTTTTTTCCCAAGAGGTAATCATTTTAAATTTTCATATCTTAAGATAGAAGGGATTTTAATTCATACCTCATTATGCTACCTTAAACTTTTAAGAAAAAAAAAAGGATTTGTGCTTTAAAGAAAAGCTTGCCAACTTTCTCAAATCTTTGATAAAATATAAATTTGACTTATCAAAGCATTATTTTGCCTTTACACTTTCCTAATATCTTACCTCTGTCTCCCTATTACCAACATCATTCCACTCTCCAATTAGCAATTTAGCACTGTTTAAAAATCACTACTTGCCAGTCTTACCCTTTAAACTCCATTTCTTTTATCATTTGCCATTAGTTGGAAGTAAACTATACCTCACTTATTTGTAACGAATAGTCTGAAATATGGAATGATTTCTGTAGTAAAGGAAATCAACATTTGAAAGTATACTGAGAGTGGAGGCCTCATGAATGGGAATAGTGCCTTTATAAAAGAGACCCGAGAGGGCTGTCTTGCCCTCTTTACACTATGTGATGATACAAGAAGTCAGCCATCTGCAGCCCGGAAGAGAGCCCTCACCTGAACTTAACCATGATGGCACCCTGGTCTTGGACTTCCAGTCTCCAGAACTGAGAAATAAATTTTCTGTTGTCTTAGACTCCCACCTCATGGTGCTTTCTTGTATCAGCCTGAACAGCCCAAACTAAGACAGTGTGTTAGGAAGCATTTCTGAGTAAAGAATTCATGAGATCATTTGATTGGGCCATTAGTTAAATATAGGTAAATGTGTTTGATTTAAGCAGTATGCAGACAGAAACTGTTTCTTCAGGTGTATTTACATTAAGTACCTTTCAAATAGTACGTACTCAGTAAATGTCTGTCATGCAAGACTAATCAAAGAACAAGTACCAATAGACCAAAAATATTTTGGAGAAATGATATTCTAAATTCTGAGACAGAAAATTGTGCAAGACTGGCCTAGCCTCCCAGAAAGAGGCGAGACTGGCCTAGCGTCCAACCTACATCTTTCTCCCATGCTGGATGCTTCCTGCCCTTGACCATTGGACTCCAAGTTCTTCAGTTTTGGAACTCGGACTGGCTCTCCTTGCTTCTCAACCTGCAGACTGCCTATTGTGGGACCTTGTGATCATGTAAGTTAATACTTAATAAATTCCCCCTTATATATTTATATATGTATATATGTGAGTGAAAATTAAAATATTTTTATATTTATATATTTTTATATATATATATATATATATATATATATATCCTGTTCTATTAGAAATAATATCCTATTAGTTCTTTCCCTCTAGAGAGCCCTAATACATGTGACATTTGACCTAATTCTGGGTAGTTAGGATCAGAATTGTACTGCAGACATTATGCTTGTTAACTATTACTGAAAAACTGTTAGCATTGTCTGAACTATTATCAAATGCTTTTAGTTTTCCCAAGTGTTTTTTTACCTTAAACTTACTTTATATTTTAGATTCTGAACCCACTTTACATTCTAGATTCTTATTTGATCAGTAAGCATAGAATTTTTGTAAAACTTGACCAGTAATGGGCCAGTAATGTGGCTTAGCACACTGTAAATATGTATGCATTACAAAATCATATTTGCTCTTATATAAATAATTGCAAACACTAGCTTCCATGTCCTCATGACCCATCACCCTCCTGGTTACATCCATGTGTTCAAGCCAGGGACGCTCTCCCAAGCCTTGGTATATGGTTTTTATTGGAGTTTCACTATGTAGCCCATTGGATTGATTAAATCATTGGCCATGTGACTGAACTTTATCTTCAGCTTTCCTTCCTTCCCCAGAGGTTGGGTTGGTATTGCATGGCTCAAAGTTCCAAACCGCATAGCTCAAATTCCCAAACCTACGATCACATCATTAATCTTTCCAGCGTGGCCAGCCCCAACTCTAAAACTAACTACATGGTTATCAAGTCATCAGGTTATGCATTTTGGCACTCAAAACCTTTGCTGTGTGTTTTCTTCCTAATGAAACACTTGGTAAGTTTTCTCAGTTATGCATTTGAGCACAAATATTTAACATTTTCACTTATTCTGCTTTATTGTGCCTATCGAATATCCCTGTACTTGCCCATTGAACCAGCTGTCTTAACATTTGTAAACAGGTAATGTAGCCTCACTGATATGACTGCTGTATTTTTACTATAACATCATTTATTCATTCATCTTCACTGGGCCAAATGTGAGCCTGGCCTTATACTACTAGATGCTGAGGATACAAAAAGAATAAACTATAACCCCCACTCTTGAAGAACTTCCAGTCTAGGGAAGATTTGCTATGATTGCTATATAAAAACACATCACATTAACCCTAAGTTTTCAGAATATTTCCACATGGCAGTAGTGCTTCTAAAACCACAATGTACATATGAACCATCTAACGATCTAGTTTTAAGAAAAAGGGTTTAAATTCAGTGGGGTTGCGTGGGGCATGAGATTCTGTTCCAACACACTTCCAAGTGATGCTAATTCTGTTCCAACACACTTCCAAGTGTTGCTGATCCATGGACCATACTTGGAGTGTCTTGGGTGTAGCATACAAACTTTCAGAAGTTTTCAATATCAGGATATCTGAAATTATAAGAATAATTTTCATCCAAGTTGTTCCATTTGCTTTTCAAACTTCATATTCTCTGTGGCCTGACCCTAGCAAACTGAACAGCAATCTTATGTTGGAGAGTTGCTGGCATAAGCAGAAAGAGTTTTTTAATCATTGTAGGTGTTTGAAAGATTTAATATTCATGACTTTCTCCATAAATGTTACCTTTTTAAAAATCTTCATGAAAGTAAGATAAACCTGTAATTCTCTCTCAGTCATGGTCTGTTGTTTTAATTTCATGGCATGTAGTTAAGATAGTTTTTATGCTATTTTGTAGTGACACTATGAAGAAAATGTTCATGTCAGTGATTTACTGCTGTTTCAGAATGAACTGTGAATTATAAGGGGTTAGGGAAGTAGATCTTAACACTTAAGGGATTCTTCTGAGTCTTTAATCACAAAAATGTGTTTTATTAAATATCTTAATCCTATGATAACCCCCCAAATTTCTAAAACACAATTAATTAGACCATTTTAATCAGTTTTTACACAATTGATAAGATTTAAATAGATAATATAAGTAAAGATATGCAGATAATTCACAAAAGAAAATGATAGCAATAAGAGTTTTGAGTTTGATTATCATAGATCTCATTATAGGGCTCTTCCCTGTATTAGTTTTCTCCTAGTACTAGTTACAGTGAAAGAAATGAAAAGATCAGTTAAAATGTTTATTGTGTTTCATTTCTGACTCAATAGTCTATAAGCACAGGAATTAACTGGAGTACCTAGGAATTGATTTTTTTCATACATTCCAAAATTCATTGTTACATATCTTAATTGTAATTGTTTAGAATATTTTTGTCTATAAACGAAACATTTCATAAATACAGGTAATCGTCTTTTCTCTAGTTTCTAACTATAATTTAATTGATGATGTTGGTCTATAGTATCTGTGTTAAGCAACACAGAACCATAACATCTCAGGACTGTTTGGATACTTGGGCACCTATCTTTAAATCAGAGAAGACATTTGAAATGTCTGCTCTTAAGAAGGTCTGATCTAACAAGATGAGGCTGGGGGAATTTACTGTAAGATGCCTACGAATCATAGCCAATTTGAGTCATGTGTAGCCAGTTTGAATCATATAGATGTCCATCCGTAAACAACTAGGAGTTATGCTGGATTCAGGAGACGCATAGAACCAGAAGAGTTCAGTTCCACTGTTTATACAGGTAATTATTGGTTAGGCCTAACTAGGTCCATGGCTAGGGGACCAGTAAGAGTGTAAGATTCACAGGCTGATAGTCATACACTGAATTAAGAGATGTATTGTTTTAGGTGTTCCAGCCGTTTGGTAAATTCTGCAAACTAACCTTACTAACATACACTTTATTTGTTCATTTATTTCTTAGCAGTGTGCCATTCTCATAAAACCAAAGCATCGGTAGTGATTTTTTTTTCATAATTCTAAGGGCTTATCTATTAACACAGTTTCTAGGAACATCTAATAGTTTGATTATTTTTTTCTCCTCTACCTCTGGGACTCCTATGCATGTTGGCAGTTCTGCTTTCATCTACATACCCCTAAGCTATTCTCTCATGGTTTCCATCTCTGCTGTTTCTAGCTGCTTCTGAGAGAGCTTCTTGCTCTGATCTTTCAGTGTGCTAATTTGTTCTTCATCTGTTCAGCCTGCTGTTTATCCCATTTGTCGTGGTGGTGTTTTTTATATTTCAACTCTTATGTATTCAGACCTAATATTTCTACCTGGACTTCTTAAATGACTTATTGGTTTTGCTTTATGCTACCAGTATTATTCCTAATTGTGTTATCATTACCATGGTTATTCTGTTTCTGATGGTAGGTATTTGTCTGTTGTCTTTATTTTTTTAACAGTAATTACACACTGTAGCATAGCCATTGTCAGTTTCTCTCCAAGCCTTCTCACTGCCTTCTGCACCTCGCTGCCTTTTCTGCTTCTAATCCATAACTCCAAGGTTAAGATGGCCTCAGTCTCCCCAGAACATCTCACTTTTGGTATTGGGTTTTATTTTTTTTTCCCTAGTATTCACATGTCTGTTTGTCTGAATCAAAATGTCTCTCTTCCTCTGTCTCTCTATCTCTGTCTCCATCTCTGTCTCCTCTCTCTCTCTGCCTCTCTCTGTCTCTCACCCTCTCTGCCTTCCTTTCTCCCTACCACGCCACCCTCCCCCATCTCCTATCTCCTAGGATTGGTTTTGGAATAAGCCAGCAGCGTATTGTAGCTTACCATCTTGACAGGAGCCAAAGCTAATTAAAAGAGAATTTCTCTCAACTCTTTGTCTTAGTGATTTATATTACTAATGATTCTCAGATTTGCCTTTCCAATACAAATGACTTGGCTGCTATCTTTATTCAATCTATTTTAGAAATATTGGTTCATTTACCAATTTTAATTGGTAAAATTTAAATTTTGGCAGTAAAATTTGTAATGTTTTATTACAAATCTAATTACTAACTTAAATGTAATTTTGAAATATTTTACTAACTTAAATACAGATTTCAAATCTTCTAGGAGAAGACTAAGTAATAGAAATGTAAAACAGAATTCAGTCCTTACAATAACCAGAAATATATTTTTCATATTATGATCAATTAGGTAAGATTGTTTTTAATACATATGCATAATTGTGATTTGAACGCTTTACCATAAAGCTTTGATTATTTGAGATGATACCAATTAGTATACTTTGTAAGATATCCCAATTTTGCTGTTGTCTATTGCATATTATTTGTACAAAATCCTGTGAAACAGGCAGGGAAGAAGTAGTGTGTATTTTGAAGACATGGAAACAGACCAACAGACCTCAAGAATACAAATGGTGTACCTAAGGTTCACACATAGTAAATGGCCTAACGCACCTAAACCAGTTTCTTAGACTCTGATGCCTCACTGACAACCCACCATTCTACAACTCCTGCTCTTTCCACCCTCTACAGCACCAGGTTAGGACTGACATCCTCGCCAGCTGTTTGTGCCCTTTCAGAATCCTGACACTGCCTTCCTTCTCAGGCCCACTTAAAGGGAGCAAGATTTTATCCAAGGAAGGACTTTTGTGGATAAGCCTGCTGTCATATCTACTAACCTGCCTAAGCAGATTAGCAGCTTCACCCAGGCTTTTGGAGAATGCACAGACAGAGGTGAAAGAAGAAGGGATTTCCTGCCTGCCATCCCCAGTCAGCTAGATCCACCTGTGCATGAGTGAGATGACAGCCTATTTTATAGGTAGACACTTCAAGTCATCTACCAGCAGGTAATGGGACTCAACCATAGAGAGAGGTGTTTAGGGGCAACTGGGAGTGGGAGATAGAATCCAAGGACCAGTCAGGATTTTACGTTGAATTGAAGTGAGATACTTTGTAAAGGAGCCAAGGCAAAATGTAATCAAGATAGAGAGGATATCACTGGAAATACAATGCAAAACAGAAGCATAATCATGGAGAAAAAAATGTAGAGAATGTAGGCTCCTAAGTCAGAGAAGAAGCAAAGGGAATCTGATTTGCTTAGCTGTGAACTCCTAGGTCATTTTGTCTCTCCCAGCAAGAGATCCAGTTGGGACTACAGATGGTCCCCAATTTACTATGGTTTGACTTATGATTTCTTGGCTTTATGATCAAGATTGTGTGAGAGTGACACACATTCTGTAGAAACTGCTCCTCGAGTACCCATGCAACCATTCTACTTTCACTTTCAATACAGTAGTCAATAAATTACACAGAATATTCAACACTTTATTATAACATAGACTTTGTGATATGTGACTTTGCCCAACTGTAGACTACTGCAAGTATTTAAGCACATTTATGGCAGGCTGGGCTATGCTATGATGTTCCATAGGTCAAGTGTAGTAACTGCATTTTCAAAATAGGATATTTTCAACTTACGATGGGTTAATGAGGATGTAACCTATCATAAGTCAAGGAACACCTATAAACTTAAAGCTGGAGCAGAGATTACAAATAATTAACAGTGGAAATTTTTAAAATATGGAATGTAAGTGCCCAATCAGAAATTGTGCTTAGGGATTTTATGTGACTCTCCTGTGTTAGCTGGAAATGTCACCACAATAAGAAAGAGGAGACTCTAGAATTAGGAGGCAATACTTCTGAATTATTGTCAGTAATGTGATAAGAGTTAGCATAAATTGCTTGATCTTACTGTGCTTCTCTCACAACACTGAAAACGGGGTGATTAAAAATGCCTCCTTCATATAATTGAGTTTTCTTCATTATGATAGTTTTGTTAATAAGTGGTATGTAATTTGAAATTGTAACATTCAAAACGCAAATTCCATGATCCTAAGCCTACCTAAGCATACAACTTTGCTTATGAATAGACATGACCATTCAAGTGATGTGGCTATAATACAAGAAGGCTTTATTATGCCCTTATGAACAGACTTTTCCTGGATGGCCGAGCACTATCATAAGGGGTCCAGCTCTGTTTCAATGTGACATTGATACAGCTCCACTCAGTAGTTCCATCTGAACTAACTCTTTCAGAAGGGTTAATAGCAACAGTCCACGGACCCACTTGACCTCTCCACTTAATTTTGAAAAGTATGAATTATCCACAATTGTAGCAACTACTGAGAAAATTATAAGCTTTCCTTTCCATTTTTTTCCTATGACACCATTGACCAAATATGTATGGAGCAATTGGCAAGTCTCATATACATATCTATGTATATGAGATAGATTATATATCTATCTCACAGCTCCTTCACTCAGTTATCTCAAAGTTTAGTGAGAAGCAGGCATAGGGTTATGGCATGTTAATTTCTATAATGTGAATTGTGCATGAAGTGTAATAGGACTATTCTTTAAGCAAGTCCAGGTAAGACGTCATGACAATCTAAATACACAGGCATTGAAACTGGTGAAGATGGAACCAATAATAGGGATATCTAAGGATAATTGATAGCAGGGGAATGAGGGAGAGAAGCCATCTTAGACTGACTTTTGTGGTTCTGACTTGGAAAACTGGATGAATCTTACTCGCTGAGATAAGCAATTGAGAAAGACTATATTTGTCGGTGGGGAGAGAGCGGGTTGAAGCATAGTTTTGGACATGACTGAGTTTAATGTCTTGCTTTGGAACCTCCAGATGAGCAATTTTGAAAGCAATGAGAATATGCAGTTTCAGGGGCCTGGGAATCTGCATTTTTGAGTCAGTCATTTGTTTATGAGTTAAAATAATGAGCATGAGTAAAATTGCCAATGTTGTTGTTTTTTTAAGTGAAGAGAGTGTTTACAAAGACTGAGGAACACTGATGTTCCATGGTGAACAGAGCAACAGGGACCTGCACAGGGACTGAAAACAAGAGGAGAGAGGAGGAGAGCGTGATTTCAAGGAGCCAAAACGGGTAGAGCCAAGTCAAAATGGAGTAAGTTGTCAGTGCTGTTTTGGAGATGCATGAAAAATGTTCTAAACACGATTAGCAAAATGATGGATTTGTAACAATTAGATTTCTTTACTGACCCTAGATTCTTTATAATACAAACAGATATTTACCGTATTCTAATTTTTTCTTCAATTATAAAATAGAATTTTTGAAAAAGTCAAAAATTTATTTTATACTAATCATGTGAATTCAAGATATTTAAAAAGAATATGGACTTTCCATACAAATAGATGTAATTTGAATTCCAGCTTTATAATTAACCTGGATCAAATTGGTTACCTTCTCACTTTCTTCATCCAGAAAAATGGAATTAGCACACCTTTACAAGATGATTTTGAAGATCGAACAAAATATTGCACATAAAAGAACAGCCCATTTTTTAAAAACATTATATTTTAAGCTAAATATCTATTTTAAGAAGTTAGGAAAATATTCAGGAAATGAAGCCCAAAGAAAGAAAAAAAAGAAGTATATAATAAGAGCAGGAATTAATTAAATAGTAAATAAAAACATACAATAAAAAATTAAGGCCAGGCACAGTGGGTCACCCCTGTAATCTCATCAATGTAAGAGGCCAAGGTGCAAGGAGTGCTTGAGGCCAGAGGTTTGAGACCAGCCTTGGCCGCATAATGAGACCCCATCTCTACAAAAACATCGGAATTAAAAAAAAAATCAGCAAGGCACAGTGGTATATGCTTGTAGTCCCAGCTACATGGAATAAGTCTGCAATAAGTTGTGAGTGTGCCACTGCACTCCAGACTGGGTGACAGAGTGAGACTCTGTCAGAAAAAAAAAAAATTAAAAAGTTGATTTTTTTTAAGAATTAAAATTAATAAACTTCTGGCTCACCTGATCATGAAATTAAGAAGATCAAAATGTGCAGTATATCTGAAATGAAAAAAGAGGATATTACTGCATGTTCTGTGAACATTTGGGAAGAAGAAGAAAATATTTTAAAGCACTTTATTCCAATAAATTTGAAAATTTACATAAGAACAACTAATTTCTACAAAAATGCAGTCTACCAAAGCTGACATAGAAAGACACAAAATTTGAATAGTTCCATATCTGTAAGTACCTACAAAAAAACTAACTGTAGGCATGATACTTAATAATAAGTTATAGAAAGTGTTTGCTTTGATTTCAGAAATAAGTGGCTATTCCTGTTATTAGTACATCTATTCAACATTGTACTGGAGATCCTAGCCAGTACAGAAAAGCCAAAAAATAAGGAAGAAAAAATAAAAACTAAAAGGAAAAAAATTTTATTCACAAATGACACAATTATGTACACACAAAATCTGAAACAATCTACAAATACACTATTAAAATTTAAAAAAGGATTTAGCAGAGTCTCTCTATATAAGATCAATAAGCCAAAAAAAAAAAAAGTGATTTCTATATACCAGCAGCAAACAACTAGAAAAACTGAATTTTAAAAGTGATTCTAGGCTGGGTACAGTGGTTCACACCTGTAATCTCAGCACTTTGGGAGGCCGAGGTAGGTAGATCACCTGAGGTCAGGAGTTTGAGACCAGCCTGGGCAATATGGTGAAACCTTGCCTCTACTAAAAATATAAAAATTAGCCAGGCGTGGTGGCAGGTGCCTGTAGTCCCAGCTACTCAGGAGGCTAAGGCAGGAGAATGGCTTGAACCTGGGAGGCAGAGGTTGCAGTGAGCCAAGGTCACGCCATTGCACTCCAGCATGGGCGACAGAACAAGACTCTCTCACACACACACACACAAAGGTGATTCTATTCACAGCAGTATCAAACATTATGAAATTCTTTGAAATATAAGATGTATACAGTCTCTACCAGTAAACTATAAATTATCGAGCAAAATTATAGAATCCCTGTGTAAACGAAGGTATATTCATGTTCATCTATTGGCAGTTGCAATATAGTAAATTGTCATTCCCAAATGATTTATGGATTCAGTTTAAGTCCCGCATGCCTGTGTTTGTATGTGTATATGAGAAAATAAACAAGCTGATTCCAGAATTTATAAGGAAATGAGAAGTGCCAAAATGGCCAATGATCTCTTGAACAAAATAAGTACCACCACATATCAAGACTTGTTATCAGCCCCAGTAATTAGTGCCGTGCACTATAGGCAAGAAGAGACAAATAGACTGGAGAGCTCAGAAACAAATGCACACATGCAGGGACATTTGATTTGCCTCAAAGATGGGACTACAGAAAAGTGGGGAAACTTTTTTTTCAATAATTTATATTTGATGAGTTAGATATGAAAACTATGGAAGTTGGCCTAAACTTATAAACTACATATGAAAGGTGAAACAGTGGCTTTCAGAAGATACGAAAGGCAAAACAGAGGCTTTGTGGGGAGGGGAAGTTATTTTAAAAGGAGACAAAAAGCATTCATATAAGGGAGACTGACAAAGTATATTGCATTAAAAATTAGTGAATTCATCTAATCATGAGAAAACATTGGAGAAGTTCAAATTGTGGTTTATTCTCAAAATACCTCACCAGTACTATTATAATGTCAAAGTCATGAAAAATATGAACTGAGACAATTGCCACAGATTGAGGGAGACTAAGGAGAGTGACAGCTGAATGCAGCATGGTATTCTGGATTGGCTCCTGGAACAGAAAAAGAATAATAGTGGAAAACAGGTATAATCTAAATAAATTGTGTTGTTTATGTAACAGTGTCATACCTATATTAATATCTGAGTTTGATAAGTGTTAGCTATGTTTGATAAATGGTTATGGAATGGGTTAACATTAGAGGAGGCTGGATGGAGGATATATTGGGGCCGTCTGCACTCTTTTCTATTCTTCTGTAAATCTAAAATTAATTCAAAATAAAATTTTAAAAGATTATATTTATCACAAGATACCATTAAGAAAGTAAAAAAAAAAAAAAAGCCACAAGTAGGAGAAGAAATTTCCCATTCGTATAATCAAAATGAGCTTGTATCAAGAATATATAAAGAACCTCTACAAATCAGTAAGGACGGCATAATACGAAAGTTAGGAAATAACTTGAAGCGTTTTACAAAAGAGGATAACCAAATAACCATAAACATTTGAAAAGATGCTCAGCCTCATTATGCTTCAGTGATAAAACAAATTTAACCCCAAGTAAAAATCTACTACAGCCTTACCAGAAAGGCTAAATATTGACAATTCTTATATGCTGCTATTAAAAGTGCAAATTGCTATAACCAGTTTAAAAAACTATTCAACATTATCTGACAAATTTGAATGTACATCCAATGACCCAGAAATTCCACTCACAGGCACATACAACAGAAATGTAGGCACGTGTTTATCAAAAGACATATGAAAATATTAGTGGCAGCATCATTCAGAAAAGCAAAAACTGAGTCACCAAATACAGTAGTCACCTATGGTACAATGGGCTAAAAAAAATATTTTGTGCTATATGCATGTAATTGAATGAATAGGAAAGACCACTACTCACAGCAACAAGAATCTGACTTACATAATGTCACATGAAAAAGCGTAAATACAAGAGTATAAACGATATGATTCTGTTTACGTACATTGCAAAAAAAAAAAAAAAGCAAAGCAAAACAACAATGGTTAGGGAATGCATGTTTTGACAGTAAAATTATCAAGAAAATCAAAGAAGTGATAACATAAAAGACAAGTGCATTTTGGGGGAAAGGAGAGATTAGGGATGGGGAAGGCTGGCCTGAGAAGGTTTGTGTGGTATGCCAGTGTTTTACTGGCCTATGTCGTCTACACTGGTATGCCCTTTGAGAAAAATAATTGAATTGTGTGTGTTTTATTGGGTAGAGTTTTCTGTATTACATCCCACAATAAGAGTTTTCTGAAAGAAGAAGTGGGCTGGGGAAAGAAAACAAACATTCTTTAGAAGAACTCAGCAGCTCTCTAAAAATGGAGAATTTTAGGTTAACCTATACTTATTTCTTCGTCTTAAATCTTGTTTTCCTCTTCCAGGAAAAGATCGATTCCTTCCTTTTGGGCTGCATCAGACATTTTTAATAAAATATGAGATTTTCTTTTAACAGCACTTTCTCTTAATTGGAGTAATTTTAACAAGCTGAAATTGTGTGCTGGAAGAGGTGTTCTTCAGTTAATGACAGTAGCAGCTGATTAAATGGATGTCACTTACACCCACACATGCCTACCTTCACATACATACTTATTTTTTAAACACCCCTTTAAAGACAGTATATTTGACTTGAAGGGATATATTCAGTCATTAGATGCTTTTTCATCATATGCTACTTTAAAATGTTTTAAATGTTTCCCATTTAAAAGACAGATCTGAAACACTAGACTTATCATTCTTGGGTTTGCAATTGAAGTATAAAATCTTGCTAGAGTTGCATCCATTAAAATAAAACAGTCTTGGAAATTAAGCACTAATTTCCCCTTCAAATGGCCATTTCAGTTTTTTTTTTTTTTTTTTTTCTTTCTAATTACCACTGTAATGAAGTGGCCAATATTATGGTAGGAAGTGATTTCAAAGGCAGCAATCTCTTATTATGAATTATAGAATTTATTTTCCACCCTAATGAGAGTCGGCCTTCGTTATAGAAAATGCATGTGCAAACCCAAATAGTTTTGGAATAACAAATCATACTTCAGCTCAGAGAGAGAGTAGGCTTTCAAGTATTTCACTAAAGATGAAGAGGAAAACCATATTTTCACTACAGGATCATTTCTGACCACTCAAATCTGTTGTTCTCTGCAGCAGACTTTCAGCATATTAAGACACTGCTATATTAACATCTGATAAGGACAACTGGTATCAAGATAGATATGAGGAAAAGCACTCTAAAAGTATTCCTTTTTTTTTGTTATTTGAAATGGAATCTAGGCTGGAGTGCAGTGGCATGATCTCAGCTCACTGCAACCTCCACCTCCTGAGTTCAAGCAATTCTCCTGCCTCAGCCTCCTGAATAGCTGGGATTACAGGCGCGCACCACCACGCCCAGCTATTTTTTGTATTTTTAGTGGAGACAGATTTTCACCATGTTGGTCAGCCTAGTCTCAAACTCCTAACCTCATGATCTACCCGTCTCAGCCTCCCAAAGTGCTGGGATTACACACGTGAGCCACCATGGCTGGCGGAAAAGTACTGCCTTTTGTTAAGCTGTTAACCTGACCGCAGAGACTTCGATGGGTCCTGCAATCCACTCTCCTTCTAACTTGGGCAGTTGCCCTTTCTGTTTCCTGTCAACGTGAGCTTTGACCTAAATACCTTGCTTTCATTTGTTGAAAAGGAAATTCTTTTTTAACTTTGATCATATCCCATGTATACTTTCAATTTTTCTATGTCCCTTTGAAATTATTTCCTGTCAAATGACTATAATGTGCCACTGCTTCTTGCCTGTGAGTTGGGGCACAGTAACACCAACCAAGCTTTTTGCAGCTTTGTTAAGTGGGTATTTGATTATTTACCCCAAAATAAGTAGTGATAAGCATGCCTCCCATTCTTTGGTATCAGTACCATCAAATTTAAATGGGAAGGGCCTCTAGAAATGAGTTGATAAAGTTATCCATCTGAAAAAACCCATGTGGGGGCCTGCAATTTAAATCACTGGAGTTTCTCTGATGGCAAAATACAGAAGATGATCATGCTGACCGTTTCAATTGCCTAGATTGTATATCAGATTATTTTACCTTCTCATATGTAGGAAAATGATAACCTCTTACTCTGATGTCAACAGTAGCAATTTGGTCATAGACAAGAGAAATCAATTTTCCTCATGGGCATTTCTGGGTCTAAATTTGGACCCACATGTGTTTCCCAAGGGTCTTTCTTTATCCTGTAACTTTGGTTGATCAACGATGTATTCACTGTAAGTAAATGGGAATAGAAAATGCAAACTGGATCTTGAAAAAAAAAGTACTACCAACTTTAAAATTCAATCTGTAAACACTTTCTGACTATGCTAAATAACTCATGTTTCATAAAGATATTGTTTCTTCATTTTCAACAAATAGAAGCCTGCTTAAAAAGATGACGGAAACTTTGGCTCAAAATACAATGATTACTGTCTGTATTGAAAAACCATACAGACAGGCCAGGCGCAGTGGCTTGCATCTCTAATCCCAACACTTTAGGGGGCCAAGGTGGCCAGATCACTTGAGGTCAGGAGTTTGAGTCCAGCCTGGCAAACATGGTGAAACCCCATCTCCACTAAAAGTACAAAAAAAAAAAAAAAATTAGCAGGGCATGGTGGCGTGCACCTGTAATACCAGCTACTTGGGAGGCTGAGGCAGGAGGATCACTTGAATCTGGGAGGTAGAGGTTGCAGTGGGCCAAGATTGCACCACTGCACTCCAGTCTAGTGACAGAGTGAGACTCTGTCTCCAAAAATAAAACATAAAAACTATACAGATAGTAAAAAGATGAGGGTGGCCAGGAGCTGGGTGGGGTGGGGGAAGTAAGGAGAGGATGGATAGGCAAAGCACAGATGAGACTATTCTCTGTGATACTACACTAGCCGGTACATGACACATACATTATACATGTGCCAAAACTTGTAGAAGTACAACCAAGAGTGAACCTGAAAGTAAACTATGGACTATAGTTAATAATATATTGATATTGCTACATTAGTTTTAACAAGTGTACCACAGTAGTGAAAGATGTTAATAATAGAGAAGCTATGTATGGGTGGGAATGGGATGCATATATGGAACTGTATTCAATTTTTCTGTAAATCTTAAACTCTACAAATAAAAACTATCTTAATTATTTTATAAAAAGAAGGGGATGAAAACATCTACACAGCAGGTAAGGAATACCCAGTTCTCTTAGTGGAGAAATGGGTGTAAACCCTCAGCCCCAAAACTTGCCTCAAAATGGTATGAGTTAGGCATACAATTGAAAATCTTGCACATATGAATAGACCTAAAACAACAATAACTTTTTTGAAGTTTTACAATTCCTATATTCACCTCGATATCATAAAAATAAGTAGAAAAATGATAAATCCATTCCCTGTGCACTTAGGTAGTATTTTAATAAATGTTAGATGTTCTCCTTAAAAATTATTTGCTTGATCATTGTGAAAAATTCAGGGAGTAAAAAGTTAAAAGAAAATCATATTAAATATTAAAAGATATACAAATCCATAATGAGAAGGACATTAAAGGCAAAGCTCTAACACACCAGCACTAAGAGGTTGGGCGGAGTGAGCAGCTTAGGCATATAATTGCAGATGATTAACGGCAAAGGATATTTAGATAGCTGCAGGTAGTTCAGTGCCGCTCAACTCAGATTTCAATTAGGATTCAGCTGCAGATGGAACGAGGGAGGACTTGGAGTTTACATTTGGCTCTGAGAGTACAAAACTATTGCAGGGCCTTCAGCTGGAAGTAAAATGATTCAGCAATATCCCTCAGAAATGAGACAGGGACAAAGCTGAGGGAGACTAGCGAGGACATGAGCTAGAATAATGCAGATTAGACCTGATGAGGGTTCTATTGAAGGGATATCCAGAAGAGAAGACTATGAGAGAGATAATGCAGGCAGAACAATAAGACTGGTTGGATACTTGGATGCGAAGAGGGAAAGCACTTGAACATGACTCCCAGCTACCGTTTGTGTCATTGGGAATTTAAGGGAGGGTGGGCAGATGGGAAGGGGAGAGAGCAGAGTACAGGGAAGGCAGTGAAATTCAACTGGGGCATGTTGAAATTGAGTTCTCTGTGGGTCATTCAGACAGAACTGTCCACTAAGAAGAAATGGAATCTGTGATTCTGCAGGACAGAATGGTCTGTACCAGAGATGAAGTCATCAGTCTACAGATGGTCATGGAATTGAGTGAAAGCAATCACCCAGCGTCAGGCAAGGCGTCAGAGCCCCAACATCAGAATGATCGACTGGCAGGTTGGTAAGAAGAATTTACTACTGACAGTATAGTACTGAAAAAGGAAAGTTTTATTAGGTAGAAAGAACGTTGTTGAAGAGTGCAGCTGCAGCAGGGTACCTCAGCAAGAGAGGATGGAGTGCAACACAATGGATTCTTCCTCAGGAGTATTTACAGACCTTAAAGCAGGAGCTGAAGGGTAATTGGAACTATATTAGCCTCATAGGTCATGATAAATGATTACATTTGTAGACATTTTTGTGTCAGCAAGGTTTGCACAATGGGTTTCAGCATGCATGCATTCTGGAGATGTATAGAAACTCTAGTTACTTATACATTTGTGGAGTAAAGAAGCTTCGAACCAGATGCTGGCTTTAGATAATAGAGAAGTGTAATTTATACAGGAGATAGAAATCATTTAGGCAGGTAGTAAGTGCAAGGTTCTTTGAACTGACTGCACCAAGGACTACACCATAGTCAAGCCATGGTGACCCCTGTGACCCACACACACTCCTCCAGATGGCCTCCTGGTGCCAAAAAGTCAAAGGTAACAAAAACTGCAAAAGGAGAATAGCTAGCCCATGCAGTGCCTGATTAACTGACCTTGTGACATTCCACCATTGTCCCTGCCTCAACTGATAAGTCGGCCTTTGTGACCCTGGACCCTGTGGCCTGATTAACCAACCTTGTGACATTCTACCACTGTTCCTGCCTCAACTTATAGATCAATCTTGTGACATTGGATCCCATGACACCCACCTCCCCTGGCTTGCAAAAAAACTGCGCTAAACTGTAACTTTCCATTACCTATCCCCAACCTATAAAACTAGCTCCTATCTCACCACCCCTCTACTAACTATCTTTTCGGATTCAACCCACTCACCCCCGAGTGAATAAACAGACTTGTTGCTCAAACAAAGCCTGTTTAGGTGGTCTGTTCATTCAGAGCATGCTTAACAGTAAGGGTAACAGAGTCCTTGGCGGAATGTCCCTTTTAACAAAAAGAAGCCCTGAAATCATTTCTTTTCTAACAAAGAGCAGCCTGAAAAAATTGAGCTGCAGACAGAGATAAGCAAGCTGGAAACTTGCACTGGTGAATGCCAGCAGCTGTGTCAATAGAAAATAGCTACCTGAGGGCGAGGCATGTTGAACATGGAGGCTCCATCTTCACTTTCTTTGTCACCACGTGTACAGTAAAGAACCAGGCAACATGGCGCCAACCCAGTAGAAAACCCATCTGCATAATAAAAGATTAGGGTAGGGAAGCCAGCTTCTTCGGTGCTATGCGTATGGGACAACTGGTCCAACCAGTCCTTCATGCCCTATGTAAATCAGACATTGTCCCCTCAAGCTCATCTATAAAACCTGCATTCTACTGGGGAAGCCACAACCCATTTTCTCTGGGACCATTCTCTGCACAGAGAGCTCTTATCTTTCTTCCGCCTATTAAACTTTTGCTCTTAACTGCACTGTTTGTGTACTGGCATCCTAGTTTTCCATGGCCATGAGACAATGAATCCCAGGTATTTACCTCAGACAGTGACACCACTTCATAATTACTTGTAAGTTCCTCAGATAAGGAGTTTTGTCTGTGAGCCACCTGCTTGATGGTCACCAGGTGATCTTTGCTGTCCTCACCGAGGAGATGTCATGTATACCGGGAGGGGAGGAGACCTAAGGACAGAACTCAGGGAAACAGCCTCCAATGGGCAAGCAGAGGGAGGTGATCCTCCAAGGGGCTTAAAGAGAACTGGAAAGAGATAGCTGGGAGACTGGTGCCATGGAAGGCAAGAAAAAAGGATTTTATATTCTGGTGAAGAATGTTAAGTATTTTGCTTCTTCGTTTCTACAGTATTTTTTTTTTTAATTATAAGAAAAGATGAAATCAGGTGCCATATATCTTCTATCTTTGAAATAGTAAAAAATGTAGCTGAGTTAAATCAATCTAATGATAATGGACTGCCAAGTAAGAATTAATTTAAAGATTGTTGTATTCAACTTCTCAGCACTAGAGTCTAGAGAAGAAATACTGCTGGCATCTCCTGGTGTGATTTACCACACCATCATAGCTTATGTATTTCTGAACTTCTGAGAGAAAAAGTAAAGCAATATAACGTGCACTCGCCTTAGAGTCAGAAGGCCTGAGTTTAAAATATCATTCCTGTCACTTAACAGCTGTGGACAAATCATTTAACCTCTCTGAGGTCCGATAGGGAGATGGCAAATTCTGGAAATTAAATATGTTGAATATAACGTTTTAATAATTCAGTTTGTATTTCTCAACTCTTGTAGTCATTGCATACTTGCAAGTACTAGAAAGTTTGATGGCATTCTGGAGATTAGCTAGTATTTTCTTTTAGCATAATACCTGTTTAGAGGCAGCACAGAGGTGCCTCTGAGATCATAGAAGTTCCTCCCCTCTTCATGAAGGTTCTGTTACAAACACATGCAGAGGCCAAATGGCTGAGAAACTCTTAACTATGCCCATTTTAAGTATAATAATTGGTGTGCAACTTAGCATTTTAATTAAATCCTGTTTTTTTAAAATTGAAATTTCCCCAAAATTATCTATAGGATTGTTGAATGTTTACTTCCTTTTGTAGGTTTTCTGATATATAGTAGAAACATAACAATGGTCTTCCTCTCCCCCATCAACCCCAGTCTGTCAATATCTCACTGCAGCTGGAAGGTGACCTCCACATTATATCCTAAACCTGTGTAATAAATAATAGTAGATGTCTAAAGCTCATCACAAGAGCAGATGAAGTGGTACATAGCACACTGTTCTTTTGGAATTTCCACATTAGGGAACTCTGGCAGACCATTTGTTACCTTAGTCATTTGGAAGGGTGAAAAAGATAATTTGAATCTTGGAAAGGATCAACCTGAAAGCAAAGCACACTTGACACACCAAACTGGAACTTTGTTTTTTATTGTGTTTTTCTTTTAGACAGGTTCATCGAGATTAGGCATAATTTAGTAAAATCACTCTTTTCCACATAAGATTCTATGGATTTTGACAAACACACACAGCAGTGTAACATATAGTCCTATCACTACAAAGGACTGAGTACTGTAACATCCTCATCCCTTTGTAATCAACCTTTCTACCCAATCATCTCCTGGAAACCAATGATATAATTTCTGCTTCTAGAGTTTTGCCTTTTCCAAAATGTCATATAAAGTAGAATCAAGCAGTGTGTCCAACCGTTTGAGCCTGGCTTCTTTCATTTAGCATAATACATTTGGAATTCATCCATATCACATCAAGTGTCAGTGGTACATCCCTTTTCATTGCTGAGTAGTATTTCATTGTATGAATGTACTGCAGCTCATCATTTTGCCTGTTGATGAACATTTTGGAGTGTTTCCAATTTTGGTGATTACAAATAAAGTTGCTATAAATGTTTATGAATAGGTTTTTATGTGGACATATTTTATTTCCCTTAAATACCTAGAAGTGAGATTTTCATGTTATGTGTTTAACTTTATCAGAAGCTTTCAAACTGTTTTCCTGAGTGGCATTCCCTTCAATTGTGTGTGAGGGCTCCAGTTGTTCTGTATCCTTACCAACACTTGATATTATAAAACTTTCATTTGTTAACCATTCTGATAGGTATACAATGGTATCATTTCATTGTTGTTTTTGTATGCATTTTCCTAATAAATATGTTGTTGAGTATTTTTCATGTGTTTATTGTCCATCTATATATCTTTCTTGGTAAAGTCTTTGTTCAAATCCTTACCTATTTGTTAACTAACTTGTTTTCACATTATTGATTTTTAGGAGTTCTTGATATATTCTTAAATCAGATACATGTTTTGCAAATATTTTCTCCCAGTGTGTGGCTTTTCATTTTTCATAAGCATGTTCTTCAAAAGGCAGAAGCTTTTAACTTTAATTTTTATGTGATCTAGTTTATTTTTTTCTTTTATAGATCATGATTTTTATCATCTCCAAGAAATACTTTCTTTACCCAAGACCACAAAGATTTTCTTCTATGTTTTCTTCTAGAATTGTTTTTTAGAAGATAATTCTAATTATCAAATAATTTAGATATTATTTAACTTTTATATTTAGGTCTATTATACTTTTTGAGTTAATGTTTTTATATAATGTGAAATATGGGTCAAAGCTCATTGTTTTGCATATGGATATTCAGTTGTTCCAGCATCATTTGTTGCAAAAACGTTCCTTTCTCACTAAATTGTCCCTGCATTTTTTGTAAAAATCAATTGATTATACCTACAAGGGTCTACTTCCGAACTCTCTCCTCTGTTTCATTCATCTTCCTGTCTTTTTACCATCATTGCATTGCGTAGTTACCATAGCTTTATAATAAGTCTTAAAATCAGGTAGTATGAGTCCTTCCCTTTTGGTCTGCTTTTCCAAGATTGCTTAGGCTATTCTAGTTCCTTTGTCTTGTACAATTTAGAATCAGCTTGTCAATTTCTTTTTAAAAATTGCTGCTGAGATTTTACTTGGGCTGCAGTTGAAATTACAGATCTCTATATTTATGATTATAGATTAATGAGAATTGACATCTTAATATTAAATTTGCCAATCCATGAATATTGTATAAATGTTCATTTATTTAGGTCTTCTTTGATTTCTTTCATCAATATATTATAGCTTCCAGCATATATATCTTGCACATGTTGTTAGATTTATACCTAAATCTTTCATGTTTTGAAGGCTATTATACATTGTACTTTTTGAAATTTTAATTTCCAATTGTTCATTGCTGGTATGTAGAAATGCAATTGATTTTTCTATATTGATTGGAGTTTGAATTTCAGTTACAAGTTTCCAGTTTCCTCCTGGACATTATATATACTAGAACAGTGGTCTTCCAATATGATTGATCTTCAAAGTGGCCTGGAAAATCATATATGTACAAATAAATAGATTCCCAGATCTCATCTCCCACAGGTTCTTGTTTCATAGTTTCCTGGAACTGGCCTAGGAATTTATATTTAAAAAGCTTCCTTGGGTAGTTCTGTCTTTGGTGGGGTTTTGGAATCACTGTTAAGCATTTATGAAAATCAATTCATTAATAAGGCAGATATGGCAAGTAACATAATTCATTTCTTGTACTGACACTACTAACCTATACTCATTGGGCATTTCCAGTTGGATTTCTGGTGATAGATTTGTAATGATATATGTGTTCTAAAACTTAACCCCTCCTTTTTAGCCAGTGGCACATATTTGTTGGAAATTGTACCAGGTTACTAACTGGGGTGAGAAGCTCATTAAAATTCAGTCTGCGCGGCTGAGTGTGGTGGCTCATGCCTGTAATCCCAGAACTTTGGGAGGCCAAGGCAGGTGGATCACCTGAGGTTGGGAGTTTGAAACCAGCCTGACCAACATGGAGAAACCCCATCTCTACTAAAAATACAAAATTAGCTGGGCATGGTGCCGCATGCCTGTAATTCCAGCTTCTTGGGAGGCTGAGGCAAGAGAATCCCACGAACCTGGGAGGCAGAGGTCGCAGTGAGCCAAGATTGCGCCATTGCACTCCAGCCTGGGCAGCAAGAGTGAAACTCAATGTCAAAAAAAACTAATAAAAATAAAAATAAAAAATAAGTCTATGGCCACACTTGGCTAGATTATCACAATATTGAGCAAACTATACAGTATTGCTTTGGGGAAGGACAAATACAAGGACTCTGGCCGAAAAAAAAGTAATAAAAGTTTGGTTAAATTCTGGATTGATCTGCCAAGATGAAGTCTGGTGATAAAGAGATTGTTGAATAAAAGTGCTACAAAGTCACCTTTAAGTAGTTTTGGTGGGTGCTGGGGGGCCGAGTGAGTGGGAGGCGAATTTATCACCAGGGCATTGTGTATCTCTTAGAAGAATCCAAGAGCAGTAATTGCAGATTGACCTCCCAGGGACCAGAAGAAAGACAAAGACAGCCATCAGAATTCCAGGCAGATCCTGTGTTCCTTCTGTACCTATGAGTGCTTCTTGCCTCTCTTATTTTCTTTCCTGAAGAGCAGCTTTCTCTGCTCCCTTTCAATCAAGGATGTCCCGAAATGAGACCCCAGCTTTTAAGTCTACATGACTCCAGAAGTCACATAGATGTCCAACTCACTAAGAAGCTCAGAAAAGAATTGGTCATATTTATATTAAGAAACCACCCATTAATAATATTGACTGATGAGGGCCATGGTAAATGATCTTCGGAGAAAGAAAACAATTCTCTGAGAAAGACATTCACTAAGGCATGCAATTTGATTAACACCTGCCTTAAATGGATGCCATATGTGGAATCTCTCCTCTACAGTATGAATGATAGACATATAGAAATATGAAGTATTTGTCTGTGATAACAAGGCATGTCCCATGTAAGAGGACATATTTTGAATTGTCTAATAAGCTAAAAACAGCATTTGCTAAATAAAACTCTAATGCTGGTGAAGAAAACATTCTATCCTGAACACATAAAGCTTAAATTTAGTCTATCCTTTTTAACATGAGCATTACAGAAACAGTATTGGGGTAATTTAAACTATTTCTAAATAAACAAGCTAACTACATAATGGCACCATGGAACTCAGGCCATTTACTTGGACTTTATGCTATATTTTTCTTCCTCACTACTTCTCAGATTGTAGTGGTTTCCAGATTGTACTTGAGAGTTTAATAAAGTTGTGCCTAACGGTTGACATTATGGAGCTACCTGCATCTCAGAGGGAAAGGTTTTCGTGTGTTATACAGAAGTGTTCTAGAAACATTGGAACCAGTGTATACACTCTCCAGAAGTAAGTCCTAGAGTCATTGAAATCAGACTAAGATGTGGTCTTATAGTGATCTATACCTCACTTTACAGAAGAGAAGATTGATAATGCAAACTGTCTAGATCTTACCTGAGTTATCGGCAAAACTGGCCTGGGATTTCTGATTCTCAGCTGAGCTGCCTTCTGTGACAACACATTTTCCCACTTAAAAGCTTTAAACACCAAGCCTATTGTTATTTCTGAAGAAACAAGTCTGAACAGGGTTTCCTCAGCTCTCACCTTGCTTCTGATTCCTATATTGGTCTAGCTGTATTTTTCTCCTTTATTAAACTTCTCTGTCTAGGAGACCCAGCTTAGATTTTGTATCCACTGCTTTTTTAGAACGCTACTTTATCTCCACAGAATATTTCTATGTTGCTGATAGTTTTATAAATGCACCTGGGGTTTACAAGTGATACATGGTGTAAGGATTTATGTGACTAAAAATATTAAGATATAAATGCAGCAGCAGAAGAAAATGTCTTCGACTCTTAATAACATAAGTTGTGGTTTACCTCTTCTCAGAGTTGACATTGATGAGTAGCTGAACTGAGTGGTTCCCCCTATTCCTCACCGGCAAAATGTATGTGTTGAAGCCCCAACTCCTACTATCTAGAGATCGGTGGGGTCTGGGAGAAGATGATAAAGGTTAAATGAGGTCATAAGGGCATGAGCTTAATTTGATAGGATTGGTGTTCTTGTAAGAAGAGGCAGAGATATCAGAGAGCTTTCTCCCTTCTCACTTGCACACAGAGGAAAGCCCATGCGAAGATCTAACAAGAAGGTATCTCAGGAAGAGAGGGCTCCCAGAAACCAGCCCTGGCACATTGACCTTGAACTTTCATCCTCCAAAACTGTGAGAAAATAAATGTCTTTTGCTTTAGCTACCCAGGCTTTAGCCACCACAGTATTCCATTATGACAGCCCCAGCAGACTGATACAATGAGCAGGACAGTACAGTGTATTATAAAAATGTTCTCTAAACTCACAGGCAGGGCACCTTTAATGAGAGAGATAAAAATCATCTTCAGAACTGATACTATGTGTCTTTTAAAGTTTATCATTGTTCTCCAGCATCAACACTTTTAAACATTGAGTGTAATATCTCTATTTGCATGTCCTTCTTTCTACCATAAAACATATTGCCAGATTTTTCTAACAACCTATAACAAATTGACTGTTGACCTCTTCTATTTATTTCAGAAATACTATTTACTAACACTTTCCCATACTACCACCTTTTGTATTGTTTTTTCCTGACAGTTTCTTTGGAGAATTTCATCAAATATTGTGACATCTCAACTGCTTTTTCTAAATTCTTTTTTTTTTTTTTTTGAGATCAAATATTGTTCTGTTACCCAGGCTGGAGTGCAGTGGTATGATCTCAGCTCACTGCAACATCTACTTCCTGGGTTCAACCGATTCTTGTGCCTCAGCCTTCTGAGTAGCTGGATTACAGGCATGCAACGCCACACCAGTTTTCGTATTTTTAGTGGAGACAGGGTTACACCATGTTGACCAGATTGGTTTTGAACTCCTGGCCTCAAGCGATCCACCTGCCTCAGCCTCCCAAAGTGCTAGGATTACAGGCATGAACCACTGTGCCTGGCCATGCTTTTTCTAAATTCTTAAGTACTATGTTTTTTTAAAGTTCTATAAATTTTACATTATATACACTTTTTAGGCAGTTTAGATTATTTTTCATTTTACCTTAATCATTAAGATACCCTGAAAGTAAGTTTTCTGTCTGTTTCACAAGCCTGTTAGAGACTGTAATGTCCCATCTTTCATCAAATCCATCATATTCAGCCCCCACTCCTATGTTGTAAGAAGATCCATATTAACAATATTTATGTACTTATTCCTGTAATATATAAAATCTCTAAAACAGTATATTTCA